CTATTACTCTGTGTCTTTTGATTGGTGCATTCAGTCCATTTACATTTAGGATGATTATAGATCGATATGTACTTATTGCCATTGCACTCTTTGGATTCGTGGTCTCCAAAGGTTCAAGGGTAGCTTCTTTACTATCTAACTGTCTAACTTTAACTCACTTATTACACTATTATAATCACAGTCTGATGAGTCTTATTTCTCTCCCTTCTTTTTCTTCCTTCTCCACTCTTTATATATTGAGTGTTTTATTCTGTACTCTTTTGTGTTTTCTTTGACTGCTTTTGGGGATAGCTGATTTTATTTTTTGCCTTTAGTTAGTATTTGGTTGGTCTGCTTTCTTTGCTGTGGTGACATCTATTTAGCCTTAGGAGTGCTTCCATCTAGAGCAGTCCCTCTAAAATACCCTGTACAGGTGGTTTGTGGCAGGCAAATTCCCGCAACTTTTGCTTATCTGGAAATTGTTTAATCCCTCCTTCAAATTTAAATGATAACCGTGCTGGATACAGTATTCTTCGTTCAAGGCCCTTCTGTTTCATTGCATTAAATATGTCATGCCATTCTTTTCTGGCCTGTAAGGTTTATATTGAGAAGTCTGATGAAAGCCTGATGGGTTTTCCTTTGTAGGTGATCTTATTTCTCTCTGACTGCTTTTAATATTCTGTCTTTATCTTTGATCTTTGCCATTTTAATTATTATATGTCTTGCTTTTGTCCTCCTTGGGTCCCTTGTGTTGGCAGATCTGTGGGCTTCCATGGTCTGAGGAACTATTTGCTTCCCCAGTTTGGGGAAGTTTTCAGCAATTATTTCTTCAAAGACACTTTCTATCCTTTTTTCTCTCTTCTTCTTCTGGTACCCCTATTATGCAAATATTACTTCATTTGGATTGGTCACCCAGTTCTCTTAATATTCTTTCATTCCTAGAGTTCCTTTCACCTCTCTCTGCCTCAGCTTCTCTGTATTCCTGTTCTGATTTCTATTCCATTAACAGTCTCTGCCACCTCATCCAGTCTGCTCTCAAGTCCTTCTATTGATTGTTTCATTTCTGTTATCTCCCAGACTTCATCCATTAGCTCTTGCATATTTCTCTGTAGGTCCATCATCATGTTATGACTTTTATTTTGAATTCTTTTTCAGGAAGATTGGTTACATCTCACCAGGTCACCTCTCTGGCATTGTTTGAGTGATTTTTGACTGGAACAGGTTCTTTTGCCTTTTCATGGTGATAGAAGTGACTGCTGGCAGGTGGCACATGTGTCATCTGGGAGAACAAAGTCCCTTCCTGCTTGCTGGTTGCCTTGCCCTTCTCCACTGCCTGTGCCAGTTACCCACACACTGAGAGCATTCCCTAGGTTAATTCCCTGAGCTGTTGTGGGCAAGGCAATGACAGGATAGCCTAGGGCACTGCAGTTGCACTGGGTGTGTTCTCCTGTGAGAACACCTCCCCTTCATGCCTTCCGGATCTTGCACTGGCTTCCTCTGCCTGTGCCAGGCAGTTACACATTGGCAACAGCCTCTGGATCTGGCCTGGTTAGCTGCGTGCTGGGAGAAGATTCTGTGTGGTTGCTGTAGGCAGTACTGCTCCCCAGCTGCTCTGCAGCAGTTGGTGAGTCAGCCGGTTTGCTTGCTGCACTGGCAGGGGGAATGAATGGCAGGTTGCTTATCACCATGAGGGGCTTCAGAGCTGTGTTACCACCCAGGGAAGTTAGGGCACCTGAAGTTCCTCAAGATTCCCAGCCTGCTGGGCTGAGTGTGCCAGGATGGTTTTGTCCACCTGTTAAACCCTTGTCCCTTTAAGATTTTTAAAGCACCCACTTTTCTTTTGTCCCAAGGGAGCCAGCTGTGGGGACCTGCACACAGTCTCCATCTAGGATTTTACTTTTCCATGTCTCTAATACCGAGTACACCATGCGATGTGTGTCTGTGATCCTGGGGAAGATTACTAGGGCTGTTATTTAGCAGTCCTGTGCTTCCACTCCCTCCCCACTCTGATTATTTGCCTCCTACCAGTGATCTGGGATCGGGGGAGTGCTCAGGTCCCACTAGGTCACGGCATTGTATCTTACCCTTTTCTTGAGATGCTGAGTTCTCGTAGATGTAGATGTAGCCTGGCTGTTATAGTATATCTTCTGGTCTCTTTTTTAGGAATAGTTGTATTTGCTGTACTTTCAAAAATATATATGATTTTGGGAGGAGATTTCAGCCACCCTACTCACACCACCATCTTGAGTGCCTCGCCCCCAATAAATGGTTTTTAAACTTTATTTCTCCCTTTGCCTGATTTTGGTTTTTAGAGGTGTTTTGCCCTGGGATTTCCTCTCCCCGGACTTACAACCTCTGCCACATAGAAGCAGAAGGGGTAGAACAGCTCTAACGTTTAAGCTCCAGGACTCCAGACAATGCTCCAAACACTTATGAAGTTCTTAACTGTATAAGTCACTGAATATCTGATTGCTGAAGACACTTATAGGGCCTGATTACTGTAATTTTTCTAATAAATATGCAGAATTTATATACCCAACTAAATATTGCCCCCTTCAAAGGAATTATCCTGGGAAAGAATAAATGCAATTTCCTTTGTTTAAAATCCAATGCTTTCCTTTCAGAATTATTGAACAGTCAAGATAAAACAGAAGGAATTCCTTCTCCATCTGTGTGTAAAATTGTAATACTTTCAGAATATATTGCCTAGCTTTAGTACATCAGCATATCAATAGGCATTCAGAGGTGGAAAGAAGTATGGCTTTAGTGCATTTACATCATTACTCAGGGATGGAGAGAAGTTCATCTCCATATCAATGGGTAATTACCTGGGCAACAGAGGGCTTATATGTACCTAAGAGGTGAGGGAGGGGGCCTGTTTTGCTTCTGCTGAAGCAGGAGAGCTGGCCCAGGACTGCAGTTTATGAGCAATAATTGGATTTTAAACCTTATTTCTCCCTTTGATTTCAGTTTTTAGAGGTATTTTGCACCAGGATTTTCTTTCCCCAGACTTACATCTGGCACAGTCAGCAGGATTCCTCTGAACCTGAAATCTGTTGTAATGGGTGTCACCTTTGGGAGGGATGCCCCTAGAAATGATGGGGATAAGTGGTGCTTACGCCAAGGGATGTGTGTCTACACTTGTGTGGCCATGGAGGCACCACCACCGCTGCTGGCTGCACCGACCCTAGCCCGTGGCCCAAGCCTAAGGCTACTGTTTCTGCCACTGCTGCTGCTTCTGCTCCCGGCTGGAACCTGGTCACTACTATGGAAAGGAGCAGAGGTCTGGTACATCTTGAAAGAGAGGCAATTGGCTGCTATATACCACATCTTGCTGGTTATGGAGCCCATTGCTGGAAAAGCTCTGACCAAGGGGTAATAAACACCCATCCCATGATGGGATGGGTGAGAGACTGGACTTAAAAGCCAGAGTGGCATGGCACAGACACCTACTGTATATGTGACTAGCTATTTGCCTTTGGCATCCCCAGGGAATAATGAAGCAGATGCATTGGCCCAGGTGCACTGGCTAGAAGGAAAGCCTGCCTCTGATGTGGCCCAATGGCTACATCAGCATTTGTTGTACGTGGGGCAGAAGACAATGTGAACTGTAGCCTGTCGGCAGGGCTTGCCATTGACCTTTGAAGAAGTCAGCCGAGACTGGAAGGAGTGCCCTGCGCGTTGTGCAGATCAGCAAACCACAAAGAGGGGCCTAGAGAGTCTCTCTGCAGCCTATGGCCGGTCGCCAGTGATTGAGAGCAATCAAGGCACCCACTTTATTGGGCATGCATTGCAAGGATGGGTGCAGCAATTAGGAATAAAATGGACATGGCCCTGAACATTTCGACACATGGACCGGCAATGGTTGGCTCTTCTGACACCTTGGGGAAAAGGCCTGGAAGCTGGCCTCCTGTGTATTCCTGGAATAACAGCAAAGTGGCCCCCCAAAATCAGTTATTTCCCTCTACAGTCCTTGTGTCCTGGATGCGCCCCCTGGCTGCAGCTGCTCCGTGATGGCTAGAATGGATGAGCTTTGGACTTAATCTGCATGGGACTTTGAACCTAGCTGAATCTTCTGGCTTGAGAATTATCATGATTGTGTTGCTGTTGTCAAGAAAAAAAACATTTAAAGAGAGGCTTGACTTTATCTAATGTTTGGTAAAAGTTTTGTGAGCAATCTAGCATGGTTGTTAGGAATGAGTAAACAAGTGTAGAAACATATTTTGTGCTTAGTAAGAGATTGTGCTGTAAAGTACATTTACTTAATCTGCATTGGCTGAATCCTCTGGCTTGAGGATTATCATGATTTTATTGCTGTTGCTATTGTAGGTCATTAGTTTGGTTGGAAAAGAGGGAACAAGTAAACTGTAAGGCAAGATTTCTGGAGGGGTAACCTATGGGTAAAATTGTAATATTTCCAGAATATCTAGTCTGACTTTAGTACATCTGCATATCATTAGGCATTCAGAGGTGGAAAGAAGTTTGGCTTTAGTGCATTTGTATCATTCCTCAGGGGTGGAGAGTAGTTTATCTCCATATCAATGGGTAATTAAGGGCTTATCTGTATCTGAGAGGTGAGGGGGGCCGGTTTTGCTTCTGCTGGAGCAGGAGAGAGAGATGGCCTAGACTGCAGTTTGTGAGCAATAATCAGATTTTAAACTTTATTTCTCCCTTTGACTGATTTCAGTTTTTAGAGGTATTTTGCCCCAGGATTTCCTTTCCCTGGACTTACACCATCTCATTACTCTCTAGCCATTTTCTAAAGCCTGAACAAAAAATTCCTAATTTAATCACTTCTTTAATCATTTTGTCATCAGAATCATCTGGTAACTCAGTATTTGAGTACTTTCCACAAATAAATACGCCAAAGTCAGCAGACTTACTATCCTAGGGAATACTCAATGGCAGTGAATGCCATTTTTTAAAAGTTATGAAAAAAAAAAGGTTTGAAATAAACATTATTTCCTTTGAAGAGAATATTCATTTATATATCTTATTCAAAAAGTCATAGCACTTAATAGTTGGCACATATTCTAGTTTTTTCATTTTTAATACTTAAACAAGGCAGAAAAGCAAATTACACCTTTAGAAAAATAAAAAACACATTTCAAGAAACTTTAATTCCAAAATGAATACTGTCTACTATTTCTACCTGTGCAGTAAAGCAGGTAGAAATTAATATACAACATAAATTTTTTAAATAAATATCTGTCTCCTTATTTGTATGTGTAGTATATATAACACCATATTTAAGAGTCCTAACAGAATTAATATTTTCTTGCATCTACTACTTTATGCCTATTTAGAATAAAGGCCCCATCTACACATGTAATGGCCTCATCTTAAACCCAAGTTAATTACAGTGTCCTCTGGAGAGGAAAATTTTCATAAGCTATTAATGCCTTGATTTCTTAAAAAAAAAAAGTTTTGGCAAGTGTGAAAAAGAAAATCCTGTTATTTACCAATTCATGACATGAGAGGAAAGACAGATAATACATTCCTCCACAAAAAAAGTGGGTTTAGAGAACAGTTCTATAGTATTTCACAAAGTATCAAAGATCTGATAAGACGCCCCCTTGCTCAGGGGGAATAAAATGATTTCAATGTGTTCCTCTTCTGAATTACTCAGTAACCCCAAGTGATTTTTAAATTGGGAGGCAGATTATTGGCAGTAAGTTCATCAAACTTAGATCTATCCTGAACAGGCACATTATAGAAATCAAGAACGTCTCTGACCCTGCACATTTGGTAAAGCCTGGAGTTAGGCACTGTGTGGCCCAAGTCATCAGCCAAACGTGCCAAGAAACTGAACTTCAGATGACCATCTTCCAGGGAGATGTCCTGCCAATTGCTAGATGAGCCAAAAATTTCTTTGACGCAAGATTCCAAACGATTCTGGAGATCTTCAGGTGGTATGTATGTTCGGCTTCGTAAGGGTGGACACACAAGGATAGGTTCTTTCTTCACCTCCTCCACTGTTTCAGCCACCACTGGCCTTTTTTCTTTTCTGGGATCATCAAAACAAATTATGTGAATCTCTGGTTCAGTGAGTTAAGGATGTTGATACGCTGACAAACACCAGACTCAATCTTGCCCATCAATATAAATCAACAAGTAAATTACTTACTATTCTTCTGGGCAATGTGGAGAGAAGAAAGAGTAAGATAGGTCTCTGCCCTTGGAAGTTTATAGCTGAATTAAGCTGGCACAGACACAAAACAAAAGCTAATTACAGATTTTACATGCTCTAAGAATGCCCAAGAATGGGTGAAGAAGTTAAACTGTTCTGTCTGGGGTTCCCAGTCCTCCAAGATCCAAACTCAGTCTACCTCTCTAACCTCCTCTCCCACTAATCTCCTACATACACTCTACACAAACTAAATTATATTGTTTTATACTTTCCTGATGTTGTGTTAGCTCAAGTTATATCCTGTCTGAAATACCTGTCTTCTATCTTCACCTATAGAAATCTTACTTATCATGTTCAAGTCCTAGGACAAAACTGTTCTCTTCCAAAAAGCTTTACTTATGTCCCCAATCAAATACATTAAGTTCCTCTGTTTTCCTTAAGTACTTTATATTGCTCATACAGCAAACCTCATCCTCCCTGAGTTTTAATTTTATTTACATTCTAGTTCTTTTACTAGATCAGGGTTTCTCAGCCAAAATACTATTGACAAAATTTTGAACCAGGTATGTCTTTGTTGGATGGGGTGGAGGAGGCAGGTGGGAGGGCACTGTCCTGTTCATTGTAGGTTGCTTAGGCTACTTAGCTTCTTCCTTGACCTCTACCCACTAAATGCCAGTTGCACACCTGTCCCCAGTCATGATAACCAAAAGACATTGCCAAATGTTCCTGGTGGGCAAAATTGTTAATCATTATGAACTATTGAGCTAGCTAATAAACTTAGCACAGGCCTGTTTTATTGATTTGGGGGTCCTTTGAAAACTTCCTGAATAACTATTATTGAATACATGGGCCAATGTGAGGGTATCTAACTGACACACTATTTCAGTGCTTAATGAAATACTTGTTCATGAACTGACTCCTGTTTCCCATGGAGTTGGCATCTGATTGGGATTGATGGTCCACACAAAAATTGTAGATACCAGAAATAAATGATGTCTGGCCAAGAATATGGCTTGCAATTATATTCTTCTTTGCCTATGCAAAGGCTCTTCCAGTAATTTATCAGCATTCAATTCTTTATCAATTTCTCCCTATCTAGAGTATTCCTGAGGGCACACAATATGTTGTAACAGCTCCCATCTATAAAGAAAAAAAAATCCCCCTAGACTTCAGGTGCCCTCCAGCTTGCTTTACAGCAAAACTTCTCAAGGAATTGTCTATACCTATGGTCTCTACTTCCTTACCTCCCATTTTGTCCTCTTATTACTCTAAATACATTTCAGAATGAAATGCAATCCACTCCTTCCATCTCAGTAATCTCACACACTGTTCCAGATTTCTTCCTAATTTACTACCTTCTGATATTATATTCTACATTTGTTCATTTTTGCCTTCACAAGAACATATGCTCTATGAGGACAATGATTTGGTCTTAGTAACAACTGTAACCCTAACATCTAGGGACTTGTAATACAGGCAGATGCTCTAAAACACGCTGAATGAGTGAATGAAACAAACTTGAGATTTGAGAGACAATAATAAACATTAACCAAAAAAGAAGGGAAGCTAATAAGTACATGAGCTGAGGATGAAAATCCTTCCGGACTGAGTTTTTGTTAAAAACCAAAGAAGCCAGCATACGTTTTTCTCTGAGGTTCCCACAAATTTTGATGCCCTAACACTACCTTGGTCAAACAAAACAAATTCACCTTCAAAAGATTCCACATGGTGCTATGGGAAAAGTGTAGATGGGGAGGTAAAAGATTTGGGTTCTAGATTCAACTCTGCCATTAACTTGATTTGAGGCTTTTAGCAAAATTCTGCCTCTCTGCGGGGCCTCAGTTTCTTCATATGTCAGAATACTGAAGCTCGGAGAATGGGCCTTGTTTCCACTGCTGTGTCCTTCTTACAGAAATGCTGGACCAGAGCAGGTGATTAATAACTTTGCTAAGGGAATCGGCGAATGAACAATCAAAGACGACGAGGCAGTACCTGATTTCTAAACCTTGCTTGTGAAGAAATACACCCCGCAAATGAATTTAGTCTACCGAACACTTCACGTTCAGGTTCTAAGTTGCTCGTTCCAAACGCGTCATTTATTTCCTGACACCACACTCGGTCCCCAGAACACAGGGTCACTACTGTTTGATAAGCAAATCAAAGTAAAGCTTTGAAAGTGGAAAGGGACGGTGCTTCCATTATGAGAAAAAAGGCAGAAGGAGAGGTACCTGGGCCTCTCTACCCGCGGAGACCTCAGAACCCTGAAGCCCTCTGTCGTCCGTCCTTCGGGCAGGCGCAGGACCAGGCTCCCGTCTTAATGGCACGACCCTCTCCTGTGAATTCGTCCCTTCATCCTCCTTACTGTGGGGCCAGGTGTCTCTCCTTAATGTCCGTGAACATGACCCACCGCCTAACCTTCCTCTTTACCTGAATCCAGACCAAAATTCTCTGCGTGGCGCCCCTGAGGCTATCCATGCGAGGGCTCTCTGGGTCACACCGCAGCCTGAGAACGCCGCCATCTCCGTGGAGAGCTATGGGCCAAAGTCCGCCCCTAGCCGGCAGTGACGCGCCCAAGCCAGCCAAACGGGTGTAAGCTTAGCGGGAGGCGATCCCTTTTTCCCGGCAGCACTAGCTCCCGGCTCCCGCACCCTTTGCACGCCGGGAAGTGTAGTCCGATAGCTGTTCCCGGCGTAGGCTGGACCGAGGCACTCTCTTAGAGCATAACGGGAGTTGTAGTTGGGGGGCGTCCCGGGAAGGTTCCGGGTGACGCCTTCTGGTCCGGGGGCGGACGGCGATCACAGCGCTCCTCGCCTGAAAGGAGGAGGAACTGGCCACTGGGAGGAGGCTCTAGTGAGGCCTGGAAGGCTGTGCACCCAGGCAGGGGAGGGGATTCGGGGTTGAGGGGCGGCAAGTAGTGCGGCTGATATGCTTCTGGGGTCGTGACCGCTCGGGGACCGAAGCAGAACCTGGCCAGACCCAGCCTGGAGGCCTCGCCTTCGTCGGCCTATCTTCATCGGCCAACTAGGCCTCATAGAGGTTCTTTTTCGTGTGACCGCCCGGCTTCCTTCCCTGATTTTCTGACCGGGAGATGGCCTCCCCCAGCCCCCCGCCCGACCCAAAGGTAAGTCGCTCCTCCGGGTATCCACCTCTCGCCACCGCAGGAGCTAGGCCGCGCCGCCTCCCCACCCCTCCGCCCCCCATCTCCAACCTCGATTTTTAGGGCCAGCGCAGTGCCAGAAAGTACCCCCTGGCGCTGTGGGGTACGGTTCACAGCCAGAACCGCCCACTGGCCCCTTTCAGTCAAGATAAACTTAAAACTCAAAATTAGTAATGCTCCAAACTAGCACTCCCCTGTGTGAGTTAGTTGTTCCAGGTAAGGCACCATTTTTCACCCTCCCCTGTGTCTTCGCGCCTGTCAGATGCCTGGACCTGAAACAGATGCTTAGAGAACTTACTGGAATTGAATTGAACAGGGTTTCAACGCAGTGCGAATAGAGAATTGAACCGAGTCAATGGGGTGTAGGAAACTTGGGGAGGCCTTGGGGCAGCTTACTGAAGTTAAAATATTCGAGTATAATTTTTAAACCCGAAAAGCCTTATCCTTAGGCCCCTCACTGAGAACAAGGATTCAGCTTACTTATCCTCAAGTTTGAGGTGCTTGCGTGTTACAGTTGTTTCTCAGAACTGGGCCCCATTTGGAACTCTTAGTTGTCGTGTTCCTCCTATCCTACTGGCCCTCATAGGTAATTTCTTTTGCTACTTTCCGTGGTAGAATTGTCCTTGCGACAAGAACTGACTACAGAAATCATACTATTTCAGGGGTTGCTGACATTTGAGGATGTGGCTGTGTTTTTTACCCAGGAGGAGTGGGATTATCTGGATCCAGCTCAGAGAAGCCTGTATAAAGATGTCATGATGGAGAATTATGGGAACCTGGTCTCACTGGGTAAGAATCTGCAGTTTCTCTGATTAAAATATCTAAGAAGCTATAAGAAGTCAGACTCTGAGAATACTTGGTGGTCCACTGCCAAAATTGCTTTGTTCAAGGTTCTGATTCAGGCCTTTCAGCCATTAATTGCTTTCATGACTCTTATCCCTAGTGTTCTTACAGTGACCAAAATACACTTTCTGGCTTCCTGTCTTCATAATCTCTTTCCCATATTGCTCTGTACTTTCCCTCCTAGCTCATCCTCCCACCGCTTTCCTCCCACCCCTTTCACTGCCTTCTGGAGCCCCTATTCTTCTTCACATAATGTTCCTTACCCCTCCTGGCCTTTACTGAAACCTGGCATCACTTTTCTGGCAGGAGCTGCTTATTCTCCCACATCCTCTTCCTTCCCCATCCTTAGTCTCAAGGCGGGAAGGGAGCCCTTACATCCTCCCAGCTTTTCACTGCTATTCCCAAAGCTTTAGTTTTGCACCTCCAAACAAAAATCTTTCTCCTCTGAGGCCTCAGTCTTGCCCCACCCACTCAGTTCTTTTTCACTATCATTTGTCAGCTTTTTTTTTTTGGTCCCTCACACATGCATTTTATCACATTTCAGAAACTTTTCTGCTAACCCACCCCATTGATGATGTAGTCATTATTTAAGCCTCACTGTATCTTGACCATATTGTCTCAGGGACCCTGCTTTCTATTTTTATTCAGCAACTCACATCAGTAATCCCCTAAATTTTGTCAAAACAGTAAATCTTAAACCCCAATTTCAGTTATTCAGGCAGTAGATGTTTATTGACTAACTAAATAGGGGTGACCAAAAAATCAGCTCCTACTTGCTCTCTGCCCTTGATATTACTGTGACTTCTTGCCTTTCTGCCTCTTCTGCTTTCCTACTACACCTGTTCATTCTTAATGATGTTTCCCATTCCTTGACTTCATTTCTTTTCCCCAGGTTATCAGTCCCCTCCTGAGTTCACCTCTTCCTCTAAGCCATGGAACTGTATTTGAATTATTACCAGCGTGTTTTCTTGCCATCTTGTTATTAATGCTCTACTCATTTTGCAAATTTCACATCCTGTATTGGTTATAAAATCTGCCTTTTCTCCTATCTGAGTTGCTAAACACAGCAGGAGAAACTCTAACCAAAAGGCTTGATGCCCTGTATGTATGCATGGCTTTTCTTCTTTTAGTCTCCTCTGGGTTTTTTACATCTCGGCAAATTTTTTATCCTTGATTTGCTCATTTCCCTGTTCTGTTTATTGACTATTCTAAAAACTTAAAAAAGAGTTTTCCTTGAGTTTGTCACTCAGTAGTGGACCTTACATTCTGTTTTACAGAGAACTTAGAGGCCACTAAATGTGAACTCTCAAGGTTTCTGCTCTTCATTTGCACACTGTAGGCTGCTCCTATCTTCTCACTTCTCCAAGAACTTGGGTTAGGCATTGTTTTTCTATTTTCCTTATAGTTTCAACCTGTTTCTTCTCTGGTGACTTTATTCTGATCATAGGGATGTTCATGGCTCTTCCAGTTGGGAAAAGAAGGGGGGAAAAATCCACTCTCTTTTGAGTCACAGTCTCCCTCTTGCTTCCTATCTTGTTCACTTCACAGCCAAGTTTTTGTAGTAGTAGTTAATGTGTGTTCTGTATTTCCTTATCTCCCATTACCTCTAAGCCCCTTTCTTGTCTCTACCACTCCCCTTAAATTGTTTCACATTGCTCTATAATAACCCAGTTGTCATATGCAATGTACTCTTTTTGGGCCTTACCTATTTTGCTTTTCTCTATAGAGATTTGAAACCATTGCTTCCTTCTATTGCCTTGCATTCTCAGACTTCCTCTCAGTCTGTATACTTTCCTTGATGGACCTTATCTACACTCAGATTATCAGCCCTCACTGTATAATGATAGGTCCCAAATTTTTTCTCCATGTAAGGTATCGGGGAGCCTAACTGCCTAAGTAAAAATCCGAGTTTGACTGAATGAATATACTTTTAAGACTCATGGCTCTAGATTAAGGTATAAGATTAGATTATTGCATTAGCCTGTAAACTAGCCCCTTAACTCCAGTCTCCCTTTCTTTTAGTATATTCTCTTTACTGCCACCAAAGTGATTTTCTGTTAACTGCTTACAACTTCTGATGATCTTGACCGCTTAAAGGATAAATATCTTAATTTCTTGTCCCACATACTAGGGCCTCTCTGTATAGCCCCTGCCAGCTTTCTAGCCTCATTGACTGTTGCCTGCACACCACTTCAGTCATCAGCCATATTAGCAGCTGATTTTTTTTTCTGCTATGCCATGGTATCTCTGAGTCACTGCCAGTCTTATCCACACATATGGTATCCTGGTTGATAGAACCAGGCAAATGCCCAGCCTTGGCAGTGAGCCCATCTGTGATCTCTGCTTTCAGGCTCTCTTCCATATTTTAGCTGAAATACAACTTTTCATCAGCTGTTATGTCTCCCTCAATCTTTTCATCTTCCTCTACAGACTGTTATGTCCATCCTCTTGATGAGAGATCACAATTAAATTAACTCTTCCAATGTAATGTTTTCCTCCACTTCACCTTGTCATTTCACTTAATACAACTCTCTTTTTGCTTTGTAATTTTGGCTTTTCATTCATACCTTTCTTTTCCATGCTGATTTTTTTGTTAAAAACTTTGATAACTACATTGATGATAAAGCTGATAGCTTGATCTCTCACTTCTTGATCTTTCAGTTCTTTCAGTTGAAGTCAACTTTTTCAGTTTCAATGACTTCTCTCTGGTCTACCTGAGCCATATTGGACCTTGATAGAATTGGAAATTGCTGTACCTACAAGACCTTAAATTCATTTTTTTCTTCTTTGATTATAGTCTTTCTCTAAATATTTGTTCAACTACTCATTCATTCAATAAATAGTTATCCAGTACTGTGCTAGCCCCAGAAGTGAAAGTTCTTCCCCTTTCTCTCATTCTCTTTTACCAAGAAAACTGTTTTTTTGATACTCTTTTGGATAGTGGGCTTGGCAGTTATGGTCCCACAGGCCAAATCTAGCACACTTCTTGTTTTTGTAAATAAGGTTTTATGGCAACATGGACATGCCCATTTTTTTATGTGTTATCTATGACTACTTTCTCATTTCAGTGGCAGAGTTGAGTAGTTGTAGCAGAGACTGTATTGCTCACAAAACCAAATATATTTATTGCCTGGCCCTTTTTAGAAAATGTATGTCAGCTTGTGTTCTGTCCTAAAGTTCAGCCACTTCCATTTTACCATTTTTTTTGCCTTTTCTCTCTCCCTTCAGCTACCATATTATTAAAACTGGCTAAAGATTATGAAAATCAACTCAGTAAGCTTAAGCCAACAAGAGAAATTATTATAGGGACAGAGATGGCTCATGGACGACATGAGCAGGGTTGCAACTGGACTCGAGAAAAGGACTGGAGCTAGAAATTAGATCATTCTCAGGAAGTCAGGAATTAACTCTATGCTCTGTTTCTTCTTGACAGACCAAACTTTCCTCCTCATATCCACATGCTTCTGAGTTGATAAATTCGAAAAATAAAACATTTTTCGAATAACTACCTATTTCAGTTTCAATTCCAAGTTCCTGGGAGAGATGTGCTTTGAGTCAACTGTCCTAGATAAATTAGCTATAATTGTGGGATGGGAACTTATACAATTATGGCAGAGACCTCAAAAGGTGATTATAGCTACCAAGCCCTGATCTAATGAATAGTCTGAGGCTGTTCTGTGCAGAAGGCTAGACTCTCTTGTGCTCTTTACCTATTTATCTATTTGACCTATGTATTTTTATGCTAGTGCCCCTCTATTTTATTTACATTAGCAGTATATTGCATTTTATGTCTGGAAATGTTTTAATTTTCTTTTTGGTGATGTACTTAACTAGTTGAAATTTAGATTCATTGGGGTTTTTTAATTGGTTCATGGGATTTTCACTGGAATGTAATTAGGTTCATAGATGTGCTTGGGAAAAATAAGATCTTTATAATACTGACTCTCTTTAGTAATTTAGTTGACTTAAACTGTCCTATGTCCTTCAGAAAAATTTTATGGGTTATTTTTATGGATCTCTGAATCCTTGCTAGAGTTATTCCTAGGTTTTATGGTTTTTATTGTTGTGAAGAGCATATTTTTTCTATACTTACTGTTATCTTGGTTATAAGAACCATGTATTTTGTATCTTAGTCTTGTCATTGCTGTTATATTTCATGTAATTCTTTTAACAATTTTAGGTAGATACCCATGTCATCTACAAATAATTATAATATAATAATCTTATTCCTTTGAGTAAAACCCCTGAACATCATCCATTGAGTGAGCATTATGAAAAAACTTTTTCTTCTCACAAAGAATTTATAATCCAACAGAAGAGACAAACACAAATAGTTAAAAATACAGTATAATAGTAGCTATAATGCAGTTATGGACAATGGTTGGTAATAGAAAACAGAACACTAAGTTTGACTCGTGGACTTAATGAAGCCTTTGTAAAGAACTGTTGCTTTAAATTGAATCTTAAAGAGAAACTTAATCTTAAAGAGTTTGCCAGGTAAATAATGTTGGGGGACATTAGTAAATGAGATATGCAAAGAAATGGCATAAAAGACTATAACACAAGCAGTTTGCCCACTTAAAGTGAGAGAGAGTGGATAGGATGGTGAATTGAGACATGTTATGAAGTACTGGGTATCATAGTCTAAAGAGCTTTGATTTGATCTTAGAGGTGGTGGACTGCTGGTGAATCTACTGGTGGTGACATGACTAGAATTCTATTTTATGAAGGTCTGTCTGGGTTCACTGAGGGGGCAGCCTAAAGATCAGAGCCAAGAATTTTTAGCTGGTTTTTCAATAATCGGAAAACACAAAAAGAAGGTAGATACTAGAAAGTAGAATCATTGATTTTGGTGATTGATGAACAGAAAAAGGGAGAAATCTAGGATGATTTCCTGCTTTGGGACTTCCAGGAAATGGATGGTGATGCCTCTCAAAGATGGCTAGAGGTAGAGATAAGTATGACAGCAGATAAAGATGATCTTGTTGATTATGAGCCCTTTTTGAGACATCTAAGTGCCTATATTCAGAGAATGTGTATTTAGAGGAGATATGGATGTAAACATGGGTAATAATATCACTTAACAGTTGACAAAGGAAGAGATATGAGGGAAATGTATTAGAAAAAGGCCAAATAAGAAGTAGGGAGGTAACTAGAAGAATATAATAACAGGAAAACCAAAAACAGATAATGTGAAGAAATGGGAGTAGTCAGCAGCATCAGATGCTGCTGAGTAAAATGACTGAAAACTGTACATTGTATTTGTAATTTGAAATCATTGGTGATTTTATGAGAATTTTCTCTAAATGTTAGAAACAAAAACCAGATTTTACAATAGGTTGTAGAATAGATTGAATGAGAAGAGGTTGCACATGGAAAACACAGTTAAGAATTGGAAAACTGCAGCATTAAGATTTTTTTTCAAAGCTTGGATTTCATGAAGAGCAGGGTTTCTGGTTCAAGATAAAATTGGACATATTTGTTTGTTGGTGGGAAGGTGTCAATGGAGAATACAGATTGAAGAAAGAGGAAAAAATCGTAATAATTAAACAAGGGCCCAGAGCCAAAGGGTATTAAGAGCAGATAGATTAGCCTTGGTTAGGAATGGGATATATCTTCCTGTACCATTGCAGATCATTTCATAGCCTGGGTCAGAAAGTAGAGGCAGTTCTCTCATCCTTTTTCATTGTGTGAAAGAAAGCACTCCACTGAAAGTGAATTTGAGATAGAGCATTGTAAGTAGCTTAGGTAGAAATAGAGTTTTTACTACTTTCTTAGGGGAATAAGAGATTTTTTGGAATAAAATAACTTAATGGCTGATTTGAATAAGCTGAAGGAAAATTAAAAGGCAACTCCGCAGTTAGAAGACTAGAAAATTGAGAGAAAAGAGGAAGTAAAAATATAAATTGTTGAGGAACAAATATAAATTTGGTAGTGATCGAATCTTGTAGTAGAATTATCTAACAGGCAGCAAGAGAGAAATCAGAGGCAGACTTAAGTGTCCTGTATGGCACTGTAACATCACAGATCATTATGTTATCTTTCCTCCAACGCACATAAGATTTTCATTTCTCAGGTATCATACAGACCCTCAGTTAAAACTAGATGTTTCCAGCTTGGGTGTTATATCTTGAGTAATGAGAATCATGTATGCCAGAAGAATGTATGATTTGTGGTAGGTAAAGTCATAAGCTACCACACACTGCTCTTTTTCTTTGTTTCTTCCATTAATTCTGATCATGTTCCTTTATGTTTATTTTATTCTAGTCTAGTCTGTCTTTCTATATCACAGACTCCATGTCACTTCCACCCATTTTTTTAAAGCCATTTTGTCTCTTGATATAGGAGTTGCTTTACTTAATGTTTTCCTTATCGTATCATTTTCTCTTCCCATTTGTACTTGTTTCCATTTGGTAGGGGGCTTCATGTCTAATCTCTGAGTCCTAACTGATTGAACAATGCCTGGAATGATTTTGATCACAGTAAATAAATGCTTGTTAATAAATGAATTGTTGTTTCCCCTGGTTGTTATCTTTTATCCTTCTCAGCATCATTTTTTGTGTTCCTTCCTATCTCATAATAAAGTTAATATGAGAGACAAAGTTGCGTTAATACAAGGGAGTTGGAATTTTGGGTTTACTCACATCCCAATAATACTATCTCATCCTATATTTTCCTGAGCCTATTGTTTTCTTCCCATGTTACCCTTTTTCCCTTGATAGGCTAGTACATCCCACCACTAGTTTTATTTCTTTATTTGCCCATCTTACCTTGCATCAGTCACTGTTGATTTACCAGCACTTGTGCTTGCTCATTCTTTGCCTCATAAACTTCTTTTCATAAGCCTCCAAGAAAAACATTTCATCAGATAACTACTACTAAATAATAATATTTATATAACTTGTATAATTTGCCAAGTACTGTTCTAAATGCAATACGTTTTTGAACTAATTTAATCCTCACAACAATACTGTGAGGTAGTAAAGTACATTTTGTAGACATATTTGATTAATTAATCCTCATTGTCTTATTTTTCATATAGTTGCTTCTTGCTAGCAAAGAGCTTAGCTGATGTTTCTATTTTCTATTTATTATTCCAGATGTTTTGAATAGAGATAAGGATGAGGAACCAACTGTGAAACAAGAAATTGAGGAAATTGAGGAAGAAGTGGAACCACAGGGTGTAATAGTTACAAGAATCAAAAGTGAAATTGACCAGGATCCCATGAGTAGAGAAACCTTTGAACTTGTTGGTAGGTTAGATAAACAGAGAGGAATTTTCTTATGGGAAATACCCAGGGAATCTTTGACCCAGGAACAGAGAATGTTTAGAGGAAACACTAACATTATTCGTAAAAGACCAAACTCAGAAGAGAAATGCCATAAATGTGAAGAATGTGGAAAGGGTTTTGTCCGCAAAGCCCATTTCATTCAACATCAAAGGGTTCATACTGGTGAGAAACCTTTTCAATGCAATGAATGTGGGAAAAGTTTTAGTCGCAGTTCATTTGTGATTGAACATCAGAGAATTCATACTGGGGAAAGACCCTATGAGTGTAATTACTGTGGAAAAACCTTTAGTGTGAGCTCAACACTTATTAGACATCAGAGAATCCACACTGGAGAGAGACCCTATCAGTGTAATCAGTGTAAACAGAGCTTCAGCCAGAGAAGGAGCCTTGTTAAACATCAAAGGATTCACACAGGTGAGAAACCTCATAAATGTAGTGACTGTGGGAAAGCCTTCAGTTGGAAGTCACACCTTATTGAACATCAGAGAACTCACACTGGTGAAAAACCCTATCACTGTACCAAATGTAAGAAAAGCTTTAGTCGAAATTCATTACTTGTTGAACATCAGAGAATTCACACTGGGGAAAGACCACATAAATGTGGTGAATGTGGGAAAGCCTTTCGATTAAGTACGTACCTTATACAACACCAAAAAATCCATACTGGTGAGAAGCCTTTTCTTTGCATTGAATGTGGAAAAAGTTTCAGTCGGAGCTCATTCCTTATTGAACATCAGAGGATCCATACAGGTGAAAGACCTTACCAGTGCAAAGAATGCGGGAAAAGTTTCAGTCAACTTTGCAACCTTACTCGGCACCAGAGAATTCACACAGGAGACAAGCCCCATAAATGTGAAGAGTGTGGGAAAGCCTTCAGTAGAAGCTCAGGTCTTATTCAGCATCAGAGAATCCACACTAGAGAGAAGACTTTTCCATACAGTGAAACTAAGGAAAGTTTTGATCCAAATTGCAGCCTTGTTATACAGCAGGAAGTCTACCCTAAGGAAAAATCTTATAAATGTGATGAATGTGGGAAAACTTTCAGTGTTAGTGCTCATCTTGTACAACATCAAAGAATTCACACTGGTGAAAAACCCTACTTATGTACCGTATGTGGGAAAAGCTTCAGTCGGAGCTCATTTCTTATTGAACATCAGAGAATCCACACTGGTGAAAGGCCCTATCTGTGCAGACAGTGTGGCAAAAGCTTTAGTCAGCTTTGTAATCTTATTCGACATCAGGGAGTTCACACAGGTAATAAACCCCATAAATGTGATGAATGTGGGAAGGCCTTTAGCCGGAATTCAGGCCTTATTCAGCATCAAAGAATACACACTGGAGAGAAACCTTATAAGTGTGAGAAGTGCGACAAAAGTTTTAGTCAACAGCGCAGCCTTGTCAACCATCAGAAGATACATGCAGAGGTGAAAACCCAAGAAACCTATGAATGTGATGCTTGTGGCGAAGCTTTCAATTGCCGCATATCTCTTATTCAGCATCAAAAATTGCACACCACTTGGATGCAATAAATGTGGGGAGATACTTAAGCACAGTTTGACTTGAGAGTAGCTGCCCAAGTGCAGTTTCAGTATGGCTCAACATGTGTCAGATTTAGTGATAAAGCAAATTCTTGGCCTCAGGCAAATGGTTTCTAAAGATTCTGTGAATAGTGGGCAAGTGCCCACAGGCAATTGAAGACTTCCATTATTATTTGTTTTGACGATTATAGAGAAAGACTATTTAGGCATCTTTCTTTAACAAATCAATCAGCAGAGAGATTAAACCCAGGTTCAGAGCACTTGGTTAAAATTAATATGAGAGACAAAGTTGCGTTAATACAAGGGAGTTGGAAAGGCACTGTTTAAACTAGAATAATTATATAGAGGGTCCTCTGCCACCATTCTGTGGTGGTTCTTTCAGTTCCATGATATATTTGGCTATGGATGGCAAAGTCAACTAATTAAGCATATGATAAAATTTTCAAGGAAACAAAGCCCCTTTTCCTTTTTTTATTTTGGGAACTGGTATCCAAAGTTTTTGTCATCAAGAAAGACAGTTTGGCATGTGTTTAAAGAAAGGCTCTTTGAATGCCTTGTGGTTCCCAGATCTATAAAGTGAGTGACCATTAATTTTACATGTAAAGATTATGTGAGTAACTAACAAACCTAGCAAAGGTGTTACCAAGGAACCTTTGGGAGTGCCTTTTCTTTTTTTTTTTTAGATGGGCCCAGAACGGTGGAGGAAGACACTACTTTTTGTGTTCTCCCGTCTGTGAAAGATATTTGTATTTCTCTACAAAAAATCTTACTCCACCACTACCAGTAGCATGTGAAAGTGTACATATTTTGATTACCAAGAGTTGGCAATAAAAAGACCTGGAGTCTGTGCTAGAAAGCTGAGATATTTTGGTATTGCTTTGGTTTTAATGGTAACTAGACTTTGCATGCAATTTTAAAATACTTATTTATGGTTCTAGGGCTTCCCTTAGTTAATGGTTATTATAAACCTATTAATTCACCTGGTTTAATCATTAAACCTGTTTTTGTTTTTGTTTTTACTTTGGGTAAGAGTTCTTTGTTACTTTAGATAAAATCTATCCTGTCAAATACATTACTTCATTTAAAAATAAGAATCCAGGATTTAGAGGAAATTGCTCTCTCTCATTCTACATGTGACTACTTACCTTTTCTGGGATAGTACAGCTACAGTTAATTCCAGGTTCTTTAGTTTCTGAATGTAGAATTCCAAATCTCCAGAACTCTGTAATTCTAACTTCCTAATGGTTTGAACAAAAGCCCTACTTGTCCCCGATAACCTAGACATTCTAAACACCACCTCTAAACTTTCATCTTCCCATCACTGAATATATGTGTGTGCGTGTGTGTAAATGTGGATGTTGTGGTACATTTGTGGAAATGTACCTCTCTGTGCATTCCCTTATTCAAATTAGGTACTCATAGTTACCATACAGTTAACTCTTCAAAGCAGAGCTTGTGGCCCAGTGAAAAGTGGAAAAAGTAATTGAAACATTTGATTCTTCAATAAAATCATCCACCTGCCCTAAATCTCCCCAGCTTTACTAATTCTATAGCAGTGGTTCCCAGGCTAAGGTCTCAACTAATAATAAGGTTCTTAGGCCTGTTCTCAGTATTCTGAAAAACCTAATGCGAAGTGTATGTTTTAAATGCATGCACACTATGACAATTGCTTTGGTTTTTGCTGGAATTGCATGTTTCTTGTATGCCAGCTTGCTTAGCAGAAGCTCTGATTGTTGACATTGTAATGTGGGGCCATGGTCGTGTGATGTAGTCCTACTAAAATTACATAGTTTTTAACACCCTTGGATGTGAATCTGGAGTGACAGCTCCAAACTCTAGTATGAGACAGTTCTTGGCGATACGTACAATTCATAGCTTATAAAAAGCATAGCCAAAAAGGTGAATTTTTAAAAAGCAAGCTCACTACAAAAAGGATACCAGTATGATAATTAGAAAGTCATTAATGAATTCTATAAGAGCAGCTTCCAAAATTGGGAAGAGCCTGTTTTCAAGGGGTTAAGTAGTTTCTGCAAAGTGTAGATCATCAGTTCCCAAATGCTATCAATTCAGGACAAGTTAACTGTCCCACATTCAAATGGTAAAAATAAGGGCAATATAACATCTTTGTAAAAAAGTAATTTGAAGGCCTTTCCTCTGAAATTATGTCCCCCCCTTTTTTTAATAAAAAAGGCTTTTTATAATAATAGTAATTTTAGGGATGATCTGTTGAATATATATGCATCTTTAGTTTTAAAAAAAATTTACAGCTCTTATTCTATCCACTTCATTTTACTGGTCTATAAAAGGGAATAAAAAGTAGATTACTTGTCTGTGAATATAAAGAAGGACAGAGATCAAGATTAAAGAAAAATCTGAGTATTTTTCCATCTGAAAAGGTAGTCAGTTGAAGAAAAGGAAGATAAAGGAGAGCAGATGGAAATAGATTATCCTATTAGATAAGCAAAAATTCTAACAGTAATGGAAGGATTTTCTTTAGAGGTTTTCTTCTGCCAATTTGGGAGAAAAAAAAGATTTCATGTCTGTTGAGGGGAAGGGGAAGAAGTAGAGTGCATTTGAGATTACCCATTTTTAAACAGTCAAATTCACATTTTGAGAGGGAAGGGTTAAGTAGACACCATTAGGGGTAGAGTTGGGAACCTTGTCAATAGTATAGGTTTTGGAGTCATAGCTGAGGAGAATGGAAGAGAACCAAACAATGGAAGAGCTTCTGGGGTTTTATTTGGGCCCATCTAAAGAACTATGAATATTTAATGGAATTACACAGATTCCTTGGGATTGACACATGAAACGATTTTGAAAGAAAATTAGGGTTAAAGTAGATGAAGTAAAATATGAATTAGTAAATGTATTCAGGTTCTCCAGAAAAACAATCAGTAAACCAATAAGGTAGCAGATAGGAAGGAAGGCATTGGCTCATGTGATTATGGAGCCAAGCAGTCATAATATGTCATCTCCTAGCTGGACAACTATGAAGTGGTATAATTCAGTCCAAAGGCTCAAGAACCAAGACTGCTGATGTCCAAGGACAGAAGATGGGTGGCCCAGCATAGGCAGAGAGCAAATGGGCCCTTCCTCCACCTTTTTGTTCAGTGAATAAGATGCCCACAAGCACTGGTGAAGGCCATCTTTTAGTCTACAGATTCAAATGCAGATCTAGAAACAACCTCAGAGACAGGCCCAGGCAATGTTTTACGAACTATCTGGCAGCAATTAGCCCAGTCAAGTTGAGACAAAATTAACCATCACAGTAGAGAACATTTTTAAATGAGCAGATAAAAGTCTGGTGGCAAAAAAAAATCACTATAATACTCTAATTTTGGTGAGTGAGGCATTTCACTTTGACCTGTCTTTCCTAAAGGAGGATGTCAGCAAATCAAGGGGCAGATACACAGAATATCCAGAATAAACTTCAAACCTTTCTTAAATCTAGTCCAGATATTCCATTTTTTTACAGTTACTGTTCTTAATTGGTATTTGATACCTTTTGTCCTCTGCCTCCTTCAAAAGTATTCTGTGGCCTTGGGTGGTTGGTGGGGGTGGGTTGATTGATTTCTTTTTAATTAAGGCCATCTCTGTAACCATGATGCATAGACAAGTAAAGGAAGATATACATTTACTGCACAAGTGGTACAAGTTCAATTAACATGCATCTTTTAAATACCTGCCAGGTGCTATGTTTATATAAGTATTAGTTGCATAGTTGCATCAAGCAGTCCTTTATCCTCCTGGAGACTTTGGGGAGTGAATAGGAAGCCTCATGTGTTCCACACCACAAAGATGAGAAAAATCACCTAACTTTACAAAACACTGAGTTTGATACATTTTGCACAAATAAAACATCGCATATCTCTGTCTGTGCTATTTCCTGTCCAGGAGCCATGTTCTCAAGAACACACCTCGTGGAGTGGTTAAGGCACACCTCCATATCACATGACAGGCACTACGGCCCTGGAACAAAGTGCACTCTTGACTTTTTTTGGCCTGTGAATTCCCTCAAGGCAAAACCAGAGCAGGACAAGGAAAGGCTGGAAATGGCTGTAGAAAGATGTCCTGACCTTGGATATCTTAAGAGGATGTTTCTCTAACCTTGGGCTGCAGCCTTACCCTGATTGTTCTAAACTGCCAGAAGAATCAGTGCTGTGTTTAGAAGATGCTCTGTATTTCACTGTGCCCTGTACTCAAAGGGCTCACTCAGTTCTATGCATGTATGTAAGCCTCTTTTTGAGAACTAGATGTAGGAGCATTTTGAATTTTCATTTCCTCCAGTGCTTGCCTCTCGAGTTGCAATAAACAGAGACTTTATTAGAGTGTTAAATCGCTATGCTCCATAGGGAGAGTTTTTGTTGTTTTCTCCCATCTGAAGATAAATGTCCACTCATCAACATACACCAACAAAAAGCTAGGCCCCACATTGGATTATTATTATACATACTTCGCTGTGTGCCAGTTACCTCTCAATCCTCTACATTCAAAAAACTAATAACTGTCAGCAATACCTTTATCATATTATTCCCTGCTCAAAACTTTTTCACAGGTCCCTATTTCTTACTACAAGGTAAGGCTTTCTGTAATATCCCTGCCCAGTCTCCTCTTACCCTCCATGGTGCCCCTGCACTTGGCCTCATCATTCTCATCTAATTCCAACAATTTCCTCAACACATACATCTATACTTTAGTTAGTACAGTTAATTCATATTCACTCCCACTCAAGTGCCTTTACCATTCATCAAAAACCAACTTGGGATAGGAAAAATATATTTATTCACAACTTACGTATCTGGCACTCTACATAAAATATTGCTAACCTCACAGCAACCCTGCCTTACAGACAAGGAAACTGAAGCTCAAGTTCCCAAGATCAGAAAGCTAGCAATAAACTAATTCATCCCACCTTTTTAATGTCCTTTGGTCTGAGCACCTAGCCTATGCCACTGTGATTTAGTACGTAATATATTGTGTACTGTTTTGTTTCCTAATTGTTCCCTGTCTTCCTCCTCTCAATGGTAAATGTACAAGGACCTTGTAGTATCTTTGCAGAGCCCAGCATATAGAAGGTGCTGGATGAATACTTGTTGCCTGATTTTAAATATGTTCACATATATTAATGCTCAATATTGAGAGCTAAACTATTTCAGGAAGCTTAGGACAGATGTGTTATAGCTGGAAAATCATGTTTATTTAAGTATTGAAGAAACAGCTGTGACAGGCTGTATTGAATTTTGCCATTAAGCCTGTCTCTTAATTCATCCTTTCTAGGAAATAGGCTTACAGAATTGGTAGTATTACATGAGTCTCCAGGCTCTACAGAGCATGGGTAATTCATCTTTAATCTAGAAGTATGGCAGATACTGTTTCTAAGGACAGGTTCACAATTCTTTATCTGAAAGCCTTGAGAGCACATATGTTTTGGAAATAAGAATTTTTTCTAGAGTTAATATAGTGCTTATGGTATGTACTGTATGTACAACTACCCCTGCAGAGTCTGAGTCAGCACTTACAATCAGACATGTTAATATCTCTGCATCCCATCAAGTGGAATAAAGATGATAACCTGGAGTCAGAGTTTGCCACCAAATAATTTGCTGCAAGCTTATAAGAAAACTTGGTTTGCAGAGATTTTTGGATTTTAAAATTGTGGATAAGAAAATGTGAACCTGCTATTGAGATGTATTGACTCATTTAATCTCAATAATTTGCAGTACTAAACTTTATTTGGGATAAGAGGAAACTGAGCCACAGAAATGTTGTATAATGTGCCCTAGGTCATATGGCTAATAAGTGGCAGAGCCAGCATTTGAACCCTGACTGTCTGACTCTGGAACCTGTGCTCTTCACCAACATGAGTACTTCCTCCCAAGGACTTTGCAGGTCACACTGACCTTAGTCTCACCCACTGGTTATGTGACCTTGGACAACTTCCTTACCACACAGGACACCAGTTTCGTCTACTGTTGCTATGAGTAAAATGTTGCTATCAGATGGAGTCTTTACCCCAGGAGAGTTAAATAAGATGAACAAAGTCACATTCCTGCTTTGCCCAAAGCGTGCTTCAAGGTTTGTATAAGTTTTCAGAGGCTTATATTTTCATTGTCACAGGTGGCTTCTGCTAAATTAATTCACATTATGAATCATTACAAATTGTCTCAGTATCTTATTTTTGTACAGCATGGTGTAAATTCACATGTGAAACTCAGCTCTTCCCCTCAAGAAGACAAGTATCTTTAGATTGCTTGATATTTCTTTCCATATTAGAAGTCTGTTCCCCAAAACAAAAAAGAAACGAACAAAATAGCAGTAGAATCATAGATACTGAGAAGAGACTGGGGTTACCATGGGGGAGGAGTTTGGGTGAGTGGGTAGGGAAGGTGAGGGGGAGAAATGGTGCACCAAAATTCTCCGTTGTAAGTTGGTCACAGAGATGGTAATACAGCATGGAGAATATAGCCAATGATTCTGTAACATCTTCCTATGTTGACAGTAATGACATTAGTGGAAGTGAGTATTTAATAATATGAGTAACAGTTGAACCACTGTGTTGTATGCTTGACACCAGTATAATGTTGTATATCAATGATACTTCAATTTAAAAAAAGCTTGTTACCTACCTCCCCACAATTTCATATTGCCCTAGCTTCTCACTTGCTGCCTTCTCTCTTTCCTCTCCTTTTTCATTTCTTCCTTTCTACTCACTCATTTCCTTCCCCTTCCCTCCCTTTTCTACCCTTTCTTCTTCAGAGCAAGAACAAAGTCCTCTTTCTATTCCTTCAGGCACTTAGTAATTTTTGGTGACCTTGGCTTTTGATACTTATGCTTTCAAGACATCATCTTCTCCCAGTGAATTATTGAAGTTTTCTTACACAAAGTCACTCCTAGAGAGTGCCTTCCCTCTTGCCCTCCAGGCACAGCCAGGCTAAATGAGAGTCCTCTTTTTCTGCACCCAGATATACTGATAGACTCTTCTCCCCTTCCTAACCCCAGTCAATGGCATTTGTGTTTCTTGCTTAACTACTTAATTGTCTAATATGCAAATGTCATGGCTTTCCTAAAGCTGAAACTTCTCTTAATTATTTTAAGTGCTGAGACCCAGCTTTTGTTTTTAGTAGGTGTTCTGAGTAACTACTAGAATAAATCTGACTGTACCAAAAGCTAGGTAGCCATTAATACATTCACTCAGTGATCATACAATTAAAGAAATTGAAGTCTGTAGCCTCCTAACACTGGTCATATTGCCCTGAGTCGAGGAAATGACTGGGGTTGAGATTTCAAAGACAGCTGTAGTGCTTTAGCCAGGAAAATACATCAGAAAATAGCCAGGGAAAATGCATTATATATATCCTCAACCCCAGTGAAATGTAATTTGGCCTTGACCAAAAGACGTAAAAAGCAGCCTTGATTATAAATTCATGCTCAACCCATAAATGAGAATCTGAGAGGTTTCTTTATGATATAGGGTCAGTGAGGCTGGTAAGCTCTAGATGAAAAATCTCTGGTAGAAGAGTTTTGTCATACCAGGTATTACCAGCATTTAGGATAGCTTAGCACACGGTAGGAGCTCAGCTACTTGAATGACAGCTGATTGAATGAGTGATTGCAATAAGAAATGTAGGAGACCTGTAACACTGGAGGCAGAGCTATTGTATACTGCCTGTTGCCCTGCCTTGCCCTACCTTCCTCCCTTGGCCATGTGCCCATCATAGAAGAAAGAGACCTGAATTCTAATCTCCCAGCTCTACTCTCCATCCCTAAATATGTGACCATCAGCAAGGAATGTAACTGTTCTAGGCTTGGTTTTATCACCTGTAAAACAAAAGCCTTGAGCTAAATGAACTCTAAAGTAGGTTTGAGTTGTTTATATGAATATAGTTGTCTTTAGAAAAGTAATAGAGGTGCATGGAAATAAATACTCAAATGTTGTAGAGGCATATAATAAGTAAGAATCTTCCTGTGCCCCATTCCCAGGTCTTTCCTCTCTGAAGAAACCGCTTGGGGCCAATTCTGTCTTGTCCTCTAATATGCTTATGCCTCTATTTCTTAATGTATCTACTCTGAGCAATATCATTTATCTTTGCACTTTCCAATACAAAGAATTTAGTTTACTACCTCCTCCTATATTTTAATTATCAAAATGAATAATGTAATGATTTAGATCCATTTCCTTTATTACTTTAAAGTACTATTACTACTTTACTGCTATTAGTATTACTTATTACTTTAAAGCACTACTTGTTTTTTTAAAACACTGTTTTTTAACCCACCAATTTTAAGTAGTATCCAGATTCCCCACTAAATAAACTGGTATTCACTTTGCTTTTTTCAGGTCTCCTCTTGAATTTCCTAGCTTCTGTCAGCTAAGTCATTACCTTCTTTTTCCACCAAAATCATTACGTTTTTGTTGTCCAAAGTTACAATGTTTAAATTCTCTTTTGTAGCTATTGTTGTCTTTAATGCTTTGTCTGTAGGTGAATTCAGCAGATTGAAAACCAATAAAGTACAATTATGTGAATATTTATTGCAAAACTAGGTAGTGTGCTTGGATGTACAGAGGAGGATGTGGTCCTTTGTCACCAAATCTGGGCCACTTGAAGAATAGTCCAAGCATCAAAGTCATATTGATTCTCTTATTATGCTCCATATGTTGCTCAAAATCATTTTACATTTTACCTTGCTTCACATGAATGGCTTTTAGTTTTAAATATCTTCAACTTTGAAATCTAGCATGACAGTTCTCAAACTTGGCTGCACTTTGGAATCACCAAGGGAGTTTTAAGGAGCACTGACAGAGAACCCCCACCCCCCATCTAGCGTTCGACTTAATTGGGCTGGAGTGTGGCTTGCATCTGGGTTTTTTAAATTTTTTCCACATTATTCCAATGAGTAGTCAAAGTTGAGAACCCTCACCATTAATGTAAGTCATGTCTAGTAGAGTCAAAGGTAATGAAATACAGAGCCCTTTGAAAGCACAAGCAGAAAGTAAAACCTGAGACCAACGGAAGGTTCATAGAAAATTTTATTTCTTTTTTGGTTGTAGCTGTCTCCACAACCTGCCAATGCGAAGATGGTTTGATAAGACATAATTCCTGCATTCAGCTTCTGAGGTGTTTCATTTGGTGGTCATTATTTGGATGGAGAGCTGATTTTGTTTTAAAGTCTATTTTTTTCTTAGTCAGTCTGGGGAGCTGAAGTGTTGCAAGGAAACCATTGTGAACTTCCATCAGATCCTTAATATTCAGATGTAGGTTTCAATGACTGATTTTCTTCCTTGTGTCTAAGAACTTAACCGGCAGTGTATTTCCAGTAGTTCCCATCTAATTTTGTCTAATTTAGAGGTTCAGTCTAAAGGTTGCACGTGGACAAGCTTGAGCCAGGCTGGTGGGCCCCAGGGTCTAGTAGGTATAGCTGGCAGTGAACAGCGACTGGGTGGACGCAGCGCCAGAAGAGCCGCTGTGAACATACTGTCCTCTGGCTGCCTGGCAGTTCGCCTGAAAGACAAGTGTGAGAGAGGAGACCGAGTTAGGCAAACGCAACCCTGTGCTGGACCCTCTCTCTCAGCCTCTCCTTAGAAACCGGCTTCACCTTCATTTGGATTTATTTCCTCCCTACAGTGAAATTTGCTGTAAATTTGCTGAAAATTGCTGCTGATACTGTTCTTCTCCTTCTATCATGTTATCTCCTTTTAAATCCCCAAGTTTTCTGAGCATTTCTCAGGCAAGCTGGAGGTTTGTGTCAGTTACTAAGGAAGTTTCTTTTTGTACTGACAGTATTGCAACAATAGTACCAGAAGTTAAAGTTGAGAAACTTCTCATTAGTACAGCAATAAGGGAATGGAGATTTCCATCTTAACAGTGGGGAAGCTTGGAAGAGTTGTTAAAAGAAATTGACCAAACGTTATAGTCAAGCATCAGGCAAGGTGCAGCTGAAGGGACATTATAGGAAAAAAAAAATTTAAATAAATGTACTGTTTTCCACCTGTATTTGTCCACAAGAACATGTAGTTTTTATGTAGTTGTTATCATAATATCATGTGATTCCATGTAAATGCAATTAAAGATGAGTTCAGGATTATGAAACCCGTAATAATATTCAGATGCCACTCAGGGGTACCAGGTCTTCAGGACACTGTTAATGTTACCTGCGCTTTCCAGGATTTATTTCCACAACTACAGGGATTTTCAAAATGTGTTTCATGGACCTAAGCACTTAGAAATGGAAATTCTCTAGCTTGACCCCAGACCTTCTGAACCAGAAACTCAGTGACTGGGACCCAGCAGTCTGCATTCTAACACATCCTTAGGGTGATTTGGATGAACACTCAAGCTCGAGCACCACCATCCTAGGTGACACACTCAGCTGCCCTTCTTTGGTGTGGAATGTCCTTCCGATGCTCACATTCACGATCCCTCCACCGTGTTAGCTCCGCCCCCCGTCTCATCTGCCACACGCAGGCACAGCCATGCGCAGCTCTCAGGCCTCACAAAGTGAAGCCCTAAAAACCTCACACCTCTCTTAGGCCCCTGAGATGGTTTCCTTTAGCCTCTCCGGGGCCTTCCTTTCCTTTAGCATCTCATCACCTAACTCCCAGCTGCGCTTGATTCCTTGCCCAGCCTCCTCTGTGATTGGCATTTTTCTGTCTCCCTATTAAATTTTTATTCTTCTACCCTGCTATTTCCCATGTAGGTTGATCTGAATCTTCCTGCATGCTCAACAGAGTTGTCAGGAAATAGGGTCTGCATTAATGATTCAGACTAATGTACCACAAACTCGTCCTCATTTTAGCTGCACCTTGACTGATGCTTCACCATAGCTCCCGGTCAATTGCTTTGCATTTAAACCTGCCGCGCTCTCTCCCACGTGGCTAAACTCTAAGCTCCCTGGACACAGTGGCTGTGTCTGCTTTGTTCACCTCAGTCCTTGGCTCATAGTAGGCATTCAAAAAGATGTGGTTTCTAGTTGAAAGAACTCTTGTTTGTCCTCATTTTTCCTGGGAACCTTTCTAGGTCTTTTCCTGACAAACTTCTTGTGTGGCATCTTTCCTTTTCTCTCTCTCTATTGAAACTGTTCTATTGAGGGACACTGATAGGCTCCAAAGTGCCAGTCTCAGCCTTTTCTCAGTCTGTATTCTGAATCTGTAGTGCGTCGTTACTGACCCCCTGAAACTTGTTTCTCTGTGTTCCCAGAGTTCTTGGCTCATTGTATCATTATTGCCGCTTGTCTTGGTGGCTTCTCTTCCTATCTTCCCAAAATGAAAGGTGTCCCTGGTTCATTCAGTCCTTGGCCCTCTTCTCTTCCCTATGCATTGTCTCTGTGGAAATGGTCCTTCAATCTATCATCATCAACCACACTCCTCGTGTGGATAATTCAAAACTCTCTCTAGCCCTAGTCTTCCTGCTGAGCTCTAATGCCACATTTTCAAATGCCTAGTAGACACTATCTGGAGATACCTTCGTGGCCAGAAGAAAGCAATGCTTCCCCATGTGAGCAAGCTAGGCCCCAGGTACCCGCTTGATCACGTAGATAGGAGGTAGTGGCCTCTTACCAGGGCCCGCTTCATGAAAGCCTCCTGGGTTGCCTTCTTGTTTGCAGCCTTGCCACTCCAGGCAGCCAATGCACTGGCCTGCAGGGCCCGTCCGAAAGAGAAACTTAGTTTCCAAGGCTTTGGTAGAGGGCAAAGGTTGATAGCATTGAGGTTGAGAGTAGCGTCCTCTTCACTCATGCCACCAGACAAAAAGCAGATGCCTGGAAGGAAAGAAGCCATCCATTCAGCTAGTCCCAGCTCAGTACTCTGCTTGAGAAAGCAAGCAATGAGCCTGAAAGTAATGTAATGTCTCAATCCTTTCTCTACTTGGTTTGCATGGGATTGGGTCAGAAAAATTAGTTTGCTTTTGTGGAGGTTAATTGGGGTAAGGAGAAAAGGGCTTTAATAAACAAGGAGAGTGGTGAAATGTTGAGGAAACCATGGTTTGAGTGCATTTGGACTGACCCAATATGTGGCATCATGGAGCATGAAGGGAAATGCTGGCTGCCTGTGAGACAGTAGAAAGAGACTCCAGGACACATGCAAATGCTTGTGAACCTCCCTCCAAGGATGAGGGCTAGAATCTCAAGTTAGAAGAGAAGGAGAGGCCCACCAGGAACAGCTGCAGGAACGGTACGGTGGAGAGCTGTCACTGTGGCCATAGCCACTTGCTCTGGAGTATACTTCTTGGTGCAGGCATGGCCGGCAGTCACCATGTTGGGCTTGAGCAAGGTGCCTTCCAGGTAAACATGATGGTCATTCAGGGCCTTATACACAGCAGCTAGGACCTGAAGATAAGAAGTCCAAACAGGTGAAACCCAGAGTGAGCCTTGGAGTCTTGGCACTTTTACACTGCAGGGATGCAGGATAAAAGAATTCCCAGATGTGGTTGGGCCACAGCTTCCCAGCCAACCCTAGGTCTCATCAGGGCAATGCACCACCAGCCACAGCCATGGAGCATGACCAAACTGGCCCAGCCACATCACCCTACTCTAACTGCTCCCCGCACTGCATACTGGCATGGCTGTGCTTCCTAGGGCTCCTGCACTCCCTCCTTCCCATCATTCTTTTGGTCAGTTTGGAATGCCTTCATTTAGCTAATTGGAGATATCTCAAGTGGTCTCCATTTTCTATTCCCATAGAAGCCCAGGGGTCATAAAAATACATGTTTTAGAGACAGAACTGCTTTCAGATCTCATTTTAATCCATCCACATTTGCAAGTGGAGAAACTGAGGTCAGGTCACATTACAAATATGAACAAAGTACTTTCTAATTACATTTTCTCATGGGAGTCTCATATCTTATTTTTAAAGATCTTAGTTTACATATAATGTTACAGAGGTCCAAAAGGATAATATGATTTACCCAGGATCCCACAACTAGCAAGGTATTTCTCAAATCCAAGTCTTGGTTCTGCTCTGTAAGTCCTGGGCTTTCACTATGTGCCAAAAAAGTGGAAGGTTTGATAAACACCTCTCTACTTTCTCAATCTTTCATATATAACAACTGATATATATGAAATAACAGCTGCTACTTAAAAACAAGATTCTTCAACTGGAACTGTGAGCTTTTATTCAAAACTTACCTTCTCAGTAACATACTGGCAGTGTTCCATGTCATGGTCTCCATCAGGAATGACCTCTGGTTCAACAATGGGTACCAGCCCATTCTAAAGAGGAAAAAGGGCAGAACAAAGAGATGCTCTGCTCACTGTGATCCTGTCCTCGGGAAGATATTCAACAGTTGCAAGTGGTATAAAATGATGCCCTTGTGGAGAAGTACCATATAGGTGACTTAAAGGCAGTGAAGATAAATTTAACGCTATGTCTAGTGAGCATTTATGGCCTAGCCAAAAGAGAACAGCAAGATTTTTTAAAAATAAATTTTAAAAAAAGCTTTCCTGGGAATGGAGTAAAATAAATGTAAAGTCTTAATTTCTATCTCTTATTCTAGGGACTATCCTGGCTACATCAGAACCTGGCTGCCACCTTTCTAGGGCAGTCCAGCTTAAATCACTAAGAAAAATGCCTTTTGGGTGGGTTGATTGAGGAATGAAGCAGTGTGTTTATAGTTTAAAGTGGGACCCTACAGGTGCCCACAACTCAAGTAACCCCAACATAGCAAATCAGACTTAATTTGGAACCCAGAGACATTTCAACATGTATTGGAAACTTTGGCATCAAGTCACCATTCCCCAAGAAACTATTTGGATTTGCCCTAGATCAGAGTTATCATCTGAAGCTAGGGATCTAAGAGGATTGTGTCCTGGACATGGTGGCACATAGTCAGCAAGGGTTCTGACCTCAAGAGCCTGACTACTCTGAAGACTCAGCTCACAGAGCTTTGGCAGAAGGCAAAGACTGATGGGGTTGGCCTTGGGGCTCATAGCTGACTGTGGAACCAAGTCTTTCCCTACCACACTCAGCTACAGCAAAAGTGGTCAAATGTGCCACCAGCATATATTAGTGAAGAAGGCTCATGTGTATTACAGTGAAATTGGAAGCAGAGACTCTGAAGGAAGCTCTGGCCTACAGCTTTTTAGCCCAATGGGATGGCAGAGCACCTGCTGACAGATGCTGGCATAGCGGGCCAGGGCATTGGCGTTTTCCTGGATGGCGAGGGTGGATGGACAGTGGCTGTCAATCCTCAACACAGCACGCCATTTCCCAAAGTCAGCACCATCTTTCTTATACTGAGTTAGGCCCCAGGTACCCGCTTGATCACGTAGATAGGAGGTAGTGGCCTCTTACCAGGGCCCGCTTCATGAAAGCCTCCTGGGTTGCCTTCTTGTTTGCAGCCTTGCCACTCCAGGCAGCCAATGCACTGGCCTGCAGGGCCCGTCCGAAAGAGAAACTTAGTTTCCAAGGCTTTGGTAGAGGGCAAAGGTTGATAGCATTGAGGTTGAGAGTAGCGTCCTCTTCACTCATGCCACCAGACAAAAAGCAGATGCCTGGAAGGAAAGAAGCCATCCATTCAGCTAGTCCCAGCTCAGTACTCTGCTTGAGAAAGCAAGCAATGAGCCTGAAAGTAATGTAATGTCTCAATCCTTTCTCTACTTGGTTTGCATGGGATTGGGTCAGAAAAATTAGTTTGCTTTTGTGGAGGTTAATTGGGGTAAGGAGAAAAGGGCTTTAATAAACAAGGAGAGTGGTGAAATGTTGAGGAAACCATGGTTTGAGTGCATTTGGACTGACCCAATATGTGGCATCATGGAGCATGAAGGGAAATGCTGGCTGCCTGTGAGACAGTAGAAAGAGACTCCAGGACACATGCAAATGCTTGTGAACCTCCCTCCAAGGATGAGGGCTAGAATCTCAAGTTAGAAGAGAAGGAGAGGCCCACCAGGAACAGCTGCAGGAACGGTACGGTGGAGAGCTGTCACTGTGGCCATAGCCACTTGCTCTGGAGTATACTTCTTGGTGCAGGCATGGCCGGCAGTCACCATGTTGGGCTTGAGCAAGGTGCCTTCCAGGTAAACATGATGGTCATTCAGGGCCTTATACACAGCAGCTAGGACCTGAAGATAAGAAGTCCAAACAGGTGAAACCCAGAGTGAGCCTTGGAGTCTTGGCACTTTTACACTGCAGGGATGCAGGATAAAAGAATTCCCAGATGTGTGGTTGGGCCACAGCTTCCCAGCCAACCCTAGGTCTCATCAGGGCAATGCACCACCAGCCACAGCCATGGAGCATGACCAAACTGGCCCAGCCACATCACCCTACTCTAACTGCTCCCCGCACTGCATACTGGCATGGCTGTGCTTCCTAGGGCTCCTGCACTCCCTCCTTCCCATCATTCTTTTGGTCAGTTTGGAATGCCTTCATTTAGCTAATTGGAGATATCTCAAGTGGTCTCCATTTTCTATTCCCATAGAAGCCCAGGGGTCATAAAAATACATGTTTTAGAGACAGAACTGCTTTCAGATCTCATTTTAATCCATCCACATTTGCAAGTGGAGAAACTGAGGTCAGGTCACATTACAAATATGAACAAAGTACTTTCTAATTACATTTTCTCATGGGAGTCTCATATCTTATTTTTAAAGATCTTAGTTTACATATAATGTTACAGAGGTCCAAAAGGATAATATGATTTACCCAGGATCCCACAACTAGCAAGGTATTTCTCAAATCCAAGTCTTGGTTCTGCTCTGTAAGTCCTGGGCTTTCACTATGTGCCAAAAAAGTGGAAGGTTTGATAAACACCTCTCTACTTTCTCAATCTTTCATATATAACAACTGATATATATGAAATAACAGCTGCTACTTAAAAACAAGATTCTTCAACTGGAACTGTGAGCTTTTATTCAAAACTTACCTTCTCAGTAACATACTGGCAGTGTTCCATGTCATGGTCTCCATCAGGAATGACCTCTGGTTCAACAATGGGTACCAGCCCATTCTAAAGAGGAAAAAGGGCAGAACAAAGAGATGCTCTGCTCACTGTGATCCTGTCCTCGGGAAGATATTCAACAGTTGCAAGTGGTATAAAATGATGCCCTTGTGGAGAAGTACCATATAGGTGACTTAAAGGCAGTGAAGATAAATTTAACGCTATGTCTAGTGAGCATTTATGGCCTAGCCAAAAGAGAACAGCAAGATTTTTTAAAAATAAATTTTAAAAAAAGCTTTCCTGGGAATGGAGTAAAATAAATGTAAAGTCTTAATTTCTATCTCTTATTCTAGGGACTATCCTGGCTACATCAGAACCTGGCTGCCACCTTTCTAGAGCAGTCCAGCTTAAATCACTAAGAAAAATGCCTTTTGGGTGGGTTGATTGAGGAATGAAGCAGTGTGTTTATAGTTTAAAGTGGGACCCTACAGGTGCCCACAACTCAAGTAACCCCAACATAGCAAATCAGACTTAATTTGGAACCCAGAGACATTTCAACATGTATTGGAAACTTTGGCATCAAGTCACCATTCCCCAAGAAACTATTTGGATTTGCCCTAGATCAGAGTTATCATCTGAAGCTAGGGATCTAAGAGGATTGTGTCCTGGACATGGTGGCACATAGTCAGCAAGGGTTCTGACCTCAAGAGCCTGACTACTCTGAAGACTCAGCTCACAGAGCTTTGGCAGAAGGCAAAGACTGATGGGGTTGGCCTTGGGGCTCATAGCTGACTGTGGAACCAAGTCTTTCCCTACCACACTCAGCTACAGCAAAAGTGGTCAAATGTGCCACCAGCATATATTAGTGAAGAAGGCTCATGTGTAGTTACAGTGAAATTGGAAGCAGAGACTCTGAAGGAAGCTCTGGCCTACAGCTTTTTAGCCCAATGGGATGGCAGAGCACCTGCTGACAGATGCTGGCATAGCGGGCCAGGGCATTGGCGTTTTCCTGGATGGCGAGGGTGGATGGACAGTGGCTGTCAATCCTCAACACAGCACGCCATTTCCCAAAGTCAGCACCATCTTTCTTATACTGAGCACAGCGCTGAGAAAGCCCATCGAGCCCTGCAAGTCACAAGAGAGAAAGGCTTTGCAAACTTCTCCCTGATCCATGGGGCTGCTGAAAAAGTGAAGGAGTTCTCCCATGGCTTGAGGACTGAAAACGTCCAGGCATATAAGCATTAAACCCACCACTGAGCCAAAACACCTGAATTTAATAAATATGGTTTTGATGTGCACAGTGGATACTTTGCAAGGAGAATAGAGGGAACTAGTATTTGCTTAGTACTTACTATGTTTCAGGCATGATTCTAGGCATTTTGCACACCTTATCTCATTTTATTATTGTAACAATCCTAATAGTTAATATTACACTTACTTCACAGATGTGAAGGCCAAGACTCAAAGAATTTAAGTGGCTTTACCATGTTTGCATAGCTATAGAGTGACAGAGCTGGGATCCAAGTTCTGCTTACCTAACCCAGTCCTGAAGGTAATACTTGCCTTCTTGGGCAATGAAGGACTCCTCAAAATTACCAAATCAGTAAGTGATGGAACTAGGATTCGAACCCAAGTGTGTCTGATCCCAAAGCTTGGGAATTTTCCTCTCTGCTGCTACTGGATTTTTCTCTAAAAAGAATACTTTCAGGTGCAGAGTATCTTCTCTGTGGTCTACTTGATGCACAATGTTTAATTTAATCCCCACAATATTGTGCAAGGTATTTATTGTTATCCAATTTTAACTGAGACTCAGAACACTTAAATGACTAGCCAGAGGTCACACAGTTATTAAATAGAGGAGCTGGGTTTGAAAACCAAGCATGTGTGGCTCTAAAACCAATGTGACATTTGTATTTTGTATTCCCTTATTCAACTCTTTGCTTGCCTTCATTTCTAGCATATATTGGCATGATTATATCAGCAGGTAATATCTTTACCTTGAATGGTGGTTTCTTTGTTTGTTCCTGCAAGGGGAGCACTGCCTTGGTCTAACTGTGAATATAAATAATTAACAAGTAATTAGCAGGTGTCCCAGTAAACTAAAAGCAGGGCCTCTGGTGCTAACAGTTCTCATCTTTAACAAATATAAGAGTTGGATCAGAAAGGTGTATCAGTCATTGGAGGGTAGGGAGGGGCACAGTTCAGTCCACAGCAGAAGGAAAGTCACCTGGAAGGAATAGTATAAGAGTGTCAACCCTGAGAGGGTGGAGAGCATGGAAAGCATAGGCCTGGAGCTTGGAGAGTAAGAAGTCACCTGGGAGGCGGAGGTGTCATATAGGAGCAGCTTCTCTCAAGCTATTCATTCAAGAGATATTTATTGAGTACCTGCACATATAGAACTGGATTATTGCAGGAGATCAAAAGAATAAAGAGGCAGCTTCTCCTCTCAGCACAGCAGAGGCTAAGGCCATGAGCCCTAGAGGCAGACTGTGGTTTGGACTGGCTCCAGTTCTGCCTTGCAGTGGGCAGGTTATGCCACCCTCCTTGTAATTGTTTTCTCACCTCATCTCCAAAAGAAAGGTAATAATCAAGCCGACTTCCGGATGTGAAAAGGATGAATGAGTGCCTGAAGGTGTAAGCACTCAGTGAATACTAGTTTTCACTCTTGAGAAGTTCACTGGGTTTTGGAAGACCTACAGTTGAGCAGCAAGTGTTTTAAATATAATATCTATCATGAGCTAAATAATAATTACCTGACAATGCTGTTTTAAAAATCTTTTCATCCTTATAAAAGCCTTATGAGAAAGACACTATTATTCCCATTTTAGAAATAAGGAAATGGAGACACTCGGAGCTTAAGTAGCTTGTAAAAAACTTAGCTGAAAGAACAGGGCACTGAAAGAAAAGTCTAGAGGAGGATCCGGGTCTCGGGGAAGATGAGGATGGAAGGGGTGAGAGTGGCAATTAGATGCTGAGGCTGTCTGTGGTGGCTCCGCCCCAGCCACAGCCCCGGGGGTTCTGCTGGGCTGAGGCACAAGGGAGAAGGGACAGAAGCATTCACCTTGATTCCCACCACGATGCCCTTCTCCCGGAGGATGTTTCTGAATAGCTTTCCCTGGCTGTCCTTCTGGTACAAGGTCTCATGGAAAAGGATCACACCCCCGATGCTCTGGTTGATGGAGGTGTCCGCGGTGAAGAGCAGCTCTCGGAACTGCCGGCGGTTCTCCTCCGTGTTCTCCACCTGGATCCTCTGCAGGCGGTTTCCCATGGTGCCTATTGTGGGCAGGCCAAAGGCAGTCAAGGAGCAGGCCAGGGCTGTCCTGCAGCCCTCCTCCACGGTGGCTCAGTGACCCTCCCCAGGGTGAGCAGCAAGACCCTCCTTTTTATTCAGATCGTTAAAGCCCCTGTCTCCTTTTTTTGTCTCCCTGGGGAAAGACCTTGCTTGCTGTCAGGATACTGGCTAGGAAATGTATGAACTGGGCATGTCAGGGTCAAGGTGGAAGCCACCTTTGGGTCCAAATGGGTGTGTAAGGCCCTGAAGCCTCTCCTTTGTCCCCCTGGGCCAGCCTTCAATCTGACTAGATGTACACCAGGGATGATGGGGCAGGCTCTTGACTTCTCTGGCTTCTATCACTTTATGGTGGGCCAGGCAGGCCTGCCACAGCTCTCCCTTGCACCATCTTGGACTTCCCTCAGCCATAGCCCTGCCCTGTTCCAGATGTGGACACCTCCCTGTCCTCCCAGCTCTTCCTTGGCTGGCTTTACACTGACTTCTCATTAGCAGTAGAGGGCTGTGTATCTGATCTCATTCTCGTTATTGAGTTCCTGACTTTGCTACAGCCTGCGTGCAGATGACCCCCAGCAAGCAGCCTTAAAATGGCAGGCTCAAACCTTTTCCCTAGGTTCTCAGAAATCTTCCTATTGGAATAACAGGACTCTATGCTTACTCGGTCTTCTGCTCCCACATCTGTGTACAGAAACCTTTACTCCTCTGAAAGGAAAGAGTCTGATGATCAAGTTGCCTTTGCTAAGTGTAGAAACAAGAGTGTGCTCACAGTTGTTTTTTCAAGGGGACTCACCTACAGACTCATCTGCAGCCAGGATCCCCTTCCCGTTGGCCACAATGCGCTGGGCAATTTCTGAGAGCTCCTTCTTCTGTTCTGGGGTGAGGGCTGGAAATGGGTAGGCCATGGTGACAGGTCTGGAAAAGAGGGCAGAAGCGCCCTGAAGAGCTGCGGGTGGCTCAGAGGGGTTAATGACCAAGACAGCCAGGGTGTGCAGACAAGCCCTGTAGGCCCCTCTGACATTTCTAGCCCATTTCCACAACTGAATAAATAAATGGCGCCTGGGTTTCTTTTCCTCCTTAGCTTAAGTAGTTGCAATTCGCCATAATGGGTAAAGATAGGATGCCAAGTTCTAAGCAGAATGCCTTCCAGGAGACCTTGGGATTCACTGATCCTGAGACTGGACAAGCTAATTAATGGTCCAGTTGAATCTGACAAACAGATGGCACTGCATTAATCGACTATCTAGTCTGTGGATTCCTGGTGCCTTCTGATATCCGGGATGGCTTGAGGTCAGGACAGTGAGGCTTTTGGCCTCTATGGCCATCTCCCACTTTGTTCTGTTAGCCTATAGTCCTACCAGATTATTCTCCAGGCAGGACAGTTGAGAGGAGAAGCTGCCATTTGGCCTTGAACTTTAGGACATACAGGATGGGATGCAAGGATCCTTTTCCTTATATTCAATCACCCATGAAACCATTTGGGGCAGATGAGGAGGATTTTCTCTATGTGCTCTTGGGCTGGATTTTCTCAGAGGCTCTCAGGCTGTCACAGAGTGATCCCTGCTCCAGTAATTCTCAACTTCACTGCTTTTGCAAGGAGAGACTCTGGCTTGAGGATCTCCTGCCCCGGCAACCTTCTCAGCAGTGGTCCTCGGAAGGGGATCATTGCCCCATTTGGCTAACACTTTTGGCTAGTCTTGAAAAGCAAGCTCACAGGGATCTCAGCCTTGATGTTAGAAAGAGTGATTTTGCATAGGTTGGACTAGCAAGGAAAAAAATGATAGCAAAGATTATCTTGAGTAGTTTCCTATCCAGTTCTTTGTCTTCCTCCTCTCCCCTCATGCACTCATCCACAGGGCAGATGACCCGCGCCTACTTTCTGCTTCCCAGAAGCCCAGGGACACACCTCAGTTCTCTTTTGATCCTCTCAGCCATGAGGTAACCAGGGCAGGTATTAGCTTCATTAATTGAGGAATAAGCTAAGACTCAGAGACATCCCAGCTACGATGAAGCAGAGCTCCCCACCCAGTCCTGCCCTCATGGTGAATCAATTTCTTCACGGTTTCTACATTCCTTCAAGGCAGGCTCCCAGTCCCCTGTCTCTTGGCATAAGAAGTCAATGGCTATCCAACTAATTCATGTTTAGAAAAACTGATGTGACTCTTCATCGTTGCCACTCTCATTTTAACAGGGGTTCTTGTCTTAACCTAAAAGACTGTAGCCACAGTGCTGTCACTGGAGCTCTAGGACAGGCTGGTGGACAATGATCTCTAGAGAAGATGATCTTCCAGGGCCCCTCACATCCCTGCCACCTGAAGATAGTGTTTCTCCTGAGGGATAAACAGGAAGAATCTTTACAATGTATTATGAAAATGTCAGGTGTTATTATTTCTCTCTTTTTTAATTAAAAAAATGTATCTAAGAGACTTCGTGTTTCTATTTACTACTATTTTCTTCAGAGTGTGCTGACTCAACCAGAAAAATAGAGAAAAGGTCAAAGTGAATCAACACTGTTTAAGGGAAGTTACACTTCTACAGGGGGATTAAAGGTCTTTACCACATCAGCACAAATGTTGCCCCCTGTTAATCATAAAACAGGGGCACAGGCCAATGTTTACCAGTGGGAGACAGGAGGCCAGCCAGGACTGGGTAAAGATAGAAAATGCTACTGTGCCCCAAAGCTTCTGCTCACTGAGGTCCCAAGCCAACTTTTGTAAAAAAGTCTGATAAAAAGTTGTTCACATTATATTATTAAGTTAAAAAACCCTGTAAGTTCCAGAGAAGTATGCAGTATATGATGCCATTTTTTAAATTTAAAAAAGTATGCACACACATTGTTTGTGTATCTATATATGCAGAGAATAACTATCCTGGGATTACCTCTGGGGAATGGGGTGGGCTGGAGTGGCTCTCACATTTCACTTTATGAATTTCTTATAATGTTTGACTTCTCAAGGAATGGGTTTATATATTACATTATTTATTATACAAATATACTAGCAGGTAGTATATATGTACAAACATGGGAGAAGGTTATGAGTATGAACATATGAATATGAAGGTTGTGAGTATGAACATACATGAATAGAAGGTAACCACAGAAACCCAGAGCTACAAGTGACAAGTGACCCCAGAGATATCTGTATCAACCCTACAACTTCAGAGATGAGGAGACTGAGGCCTGGGGAGAATATGTCTGATGCCCTTTCTAAGTTGTGATGCTCTATGATTGTAAATTTACAATATGATTTACATATTTACAATATAATTGTAAATCGTATTCTATTGGCATATGACTTGGAATCCTTTTTCTAATCCTTCAGCAAAATAGTAGATGAAACCCTGCAGTATGGTTCATGCTGCCTTCCTTGAAGAGGTTCTGTGAAAAGATAATTTGTAAAAGATGGATATTTAACTCCTGGAGAAATATAAGGGGGTAGAGAGTCCATTTCCTTCCTGTGCAAGGCATCTTCAAGAAGACATGAGGGGCTCATTCATTGAAAGCCCAAGCTCGCTAGCATTGTATGCTGCACTTTTACACACAGATGTATGAAGATGCCCACAGCTCCCTTACTCAACCCCAGTGCCACATTGCCACATGCAGTGAGATGCTCTAGGACAGCCTGACTCCAGTGTCATTGAATACACGTGGCACAGCTCAGAAAGAGACCTGAATGTTGCTCTTCCCTGTAAACTAGTACCTAAGTCAAAGGAGGTCCCGTGTTTACAGCAGCTACACTCCATGCCCGGCCCAATACCTCAGACTCTAGCCTAGGCCTGGGTGGTCCCCAGAGGCACCTTGGCTAAAGTGATGATGGTAGCAGAGCTCAATCCCCTGCTGGATCCAAATTGGCTGCTGGAGCCCTAGGTACCTATTTAAAGAGAACTTTTATTTATTTTGTTATTTACTTATTTTATTTTAAAAGGCAACATATACTCACAATATGCCTATTTTTCAGATAATAGAGCAAATGTGCCAAAATATATCAGCAGATTTTGATTCCAAATATCTTAAGCTGTAGGATCTTCAAAGTAGGAAATGTTACAGAAAGCATCAAACAAGTGGAAGTTTTGACAATTCATAATCAAATGATGGCTGTGTTCTGGGATGTTTCCAAGCCTCTTTCATTTTCTCATTTGAGCAGTGGGTGAAGGCAAAGGACAAAACATGCCAAGAGTTCATTTTCTGTGACAAAGAAACTTCAGTGCTAGTACTAGTTGGTGTGGGAAGAGAATGAAGAAAATGACATAAGGTGATAAATATGTAAGTAAATCGTCGAAATAAGCAGTTGTTACAAGAGAGTAGAAATGAGCAGGAATCTCAAAAAGTGATCAGAACCTAATCAAATGGAGAGTATTCTCGTTGTTTTTGCCAAGCCAAAGCCTCAGAAGAGCCTTCATAGAGTTAACACTGGTAACCGGAGCATTTTGCCACCACCCAAAGGGGCAGGAAAGATGTGAGCAAGCATTTACTTAGGGAAGGAAACAGTCATTTTCCAGCCACTATCCAGTTTTTCCTGAAAGCAAAAGCAAACACACTTTCTCCTCTACTGCTTAGTGCAGTAGCCCAGCTGCACTGGCGCAGCCCAGGCAGACCAACAGAAGCTCCTTTACTTACAGTTTGGGAGACGAGAGCCCTCTTAGAGATCAGATGTTGTGGATGAGGCGACAGCTGCCAAATAGGACGAATCTTTGGGAACACACATTTTTTATTGACTTCTCATCAAAGTTGTGGTGTTTTGTTTTGTTTTTTCTTTATCTTTTGCCCTCCCCTTCCCACCTTGGCCTGGTAGGGAGGTGTTTACCCAGTGCCTCTGATTGGCTCATGCACAGCCAGTCCTTCTGATCCTGCTCATACACTCCTTGTGCTCACAGGATGTTAAAGCTACAGGGGTATCTGGAGACCAGGTAGTTCTTAATCCAGACTCTTCACCTTACAGGTGAGGAAATGGAGGGTTAGGGAATTCCCTTAAATTGTAAAGCTAGTGAATGACTGTTATCTATAGTCCACAACGGGCGACTGGGAAGAATGTTAGTTTAGCACTGAACACATGACCTTGGCTAAGGTTTTTTCATTTCTCTGAGCCTTAATTTCCTCCTCTGTAAAGTAGGATCACAACCTCACAAGAGCTTGTGAAGTTTATAAACTGCCTTCATATAGTAGGCATTCAAAGATCCTTCCTAGTCCCCCCAAACAAGTTTGGGTTCCTGATGTTTTCAATGCCAGAACACACTGTCTTACTCTATTCTCATTCTCTTTCAATCTTTACATTTGTGTCTTTAAAGTTGGTAAAAACTAAGTGATTACTGTAAGCCATTAGCTCCCCTAGACATGGCACTATCTAGGCATGGGTTCATTCTATGTGTTTTTTTCCTGAGCATTATACCAAAATATAATTTATGTGAAGGCAAATAAAAATAGTGTATGCTTCCTAAGGCAAATAATGAACGAGCAAATTAAAGTTATAGGGGAACCTAAAAATAATGGAATGACCATGATCACAAGAAAGGATAAATTCTCAGGAACATTCCTTTGGGATAATATATAAAATGTGGGGGGAGGGGGACAAAAAGCCAATGTGCTCAGCAGTATAGAGCATAACACTGCAAGGAGTAAAATGTCAATGAAATGAGGGAAAAAGAAACGGGGACTGAGGTTGTCTATTTAAATAGAGTTCAGGTTCAGACAGCTTCTAAAAGTAGAGAATGTTAGACATCAAATGTGGTTATGGAAAGAAATAGAAATGTTTGAAACACAAAACTGAGGCTCATTTGGGTACAGAGGTTTGGCCAAGGCCTAAGGATAGCTGAGGGCTGGATCAGGCAAAGGCCATCAGCATTCTTGGTTCCATTTGCCACCCCAAGGCACACTTCTGTTTTCCCCATCTCCACATGGCACTCATTCAAGCACCTGCTGTTTGATTCACCACACCAAAATGACCTGATCTGGGGGCATCTGAGGTTTTATTCAATGTGAGTTTTGTTGAAGGAGAATGGAAGAATGAGAGGTGCATGGTAGTGAAGGAATGGAGTGTGAGGTTAGTGATGGTCATCTGGGGTCAGGGCTGGATGGCTAGAGCTGTGACTAAAACATTCCACCTGCTGAGAGATGCATGGTAAAAATAATTTTACTTATGTTACTAGGACTAGGTAGTCTTATGAAAACAATGATAACAATAATAATAAACATAGCTAGTTTTTGAGGTGCTATGATGTGTCTAGTTCTTTTCATACATGATCTCCAATCTCAGCATCTCTTTGAAGAAAGATTTATTGCTCCTGTTTTCTAGATAAGAAAACTGGTTCAGAGACGGCAAGTAATTTGCCAGAGTCACAGGACAGGTACATGGAGAGGCCATCTCACTCCAAGGAGAGGATGACGCTCATTCAGTGGTCTAAAGCAGAGCTGTTTACATTTTGGTGACCGCAGACTGCATAGATAAGCTCTTTCCCTCTCACCCTCCCTAGATAAGCTCTTTCCCTCTCACCCTCCCAGCAGTTTATAACCTTGGACATTAAACCTGCATTAATCAGGGAAGAATAACTGGCATCAGCAGACCTAGTAACCATGGTCTTGCTGGGCATCGTTTCACGTGAACAGCAGCCTGTCCAAGCATGTCAGGGGATCATGGTACATCTGTCCCCGAGTGGTGCTGCCTATTGCTGCTCCCATGGCATCAGCATTTGGTCACCTCCAGGGTGTGATGTGCAACTGGAACTCAAAGTTCAGAAAAGTGAGGAGAGAGCTCACCGGAACTCAGAGAAACAGCAACTCCTGAGCAACACAGACTGTTGCAGGGTTTCACTTTGTTTTTTAAGTCTGTTAACTTAGTAAAATGTTCAAAACTGAGATATTGTGACAGATGGAAAAAGCATGGGACTTGGAGGCTGTGAAACATTGGGGAATCCCCCAACCTCTGTGATCCTCAGTTTCACTGTCTGTAAAATGAGGTCATGATGTCTCCATCCAAAACTGATTATGGAGCATGAATGAAATAATATATGACTAGGGGCTTAGCACAGAGTAAGTTTCAACTAAATAGCCAGATATGATTGCATCCTTCTGGTTTAGAGGTCTCCAGTTGCAGACTTTTCTGATAGGCAAGAGGATGATATTATTCAGGATCACTGCTGTCAATATTGTCAACAACAGCCGCATTGATTCTCCACAACCTGCCCCACTCTAGGGAATTCTGGCTTGAATGTGGTATCTGTATAAGTCTACTGACAGGCCATGGGTTAAGTATAGTCACGTACAGTAGGATGTCTGAGTCCACCAGCAAACTTGCATATGCTAGTAATTCTCATGTATGATAGTTACTCTCACTACAGTATTAGTAATATTCTAGAGAAACAACTTTCATAAAAAGGGGCTATATCTACACAATGCAAGGAAGATCCACAGTTGGGTCAACATGGCATTTTAAAATATCTTTTGCATGGTGCAGATATTTCCTAATTGTGTTACAGTCTGCTTTGGTGGTTGGGATGGTTTCAGGGCCCTGAAACCAGCCTTGTTATCTTGGTTACAGAGACAGGGCAAGCATTCTTTTAGCATAGTTTGTAAAATTTTCATTGAGGGTCTTATGTATAAGGCGTTTTGTTAGCTACAGAGATGTTTTGTAGAGGATACACTTGTATAGAGATTACAAGATGAGTAAAACTGACCTGTTCTCAGGAAATTTATAATCTGAGAAGTAGGAAGAGGTAGTTGTGGTCAAGATCAAATAAAATCAAACCAAATGATAGAATGCATATGAAAGTACCCAGAGAGTGCTGTGATGGTGACAGTTGTTATTGCAGTGTTGGTGGAAGACTGTGAAGTAACACGGAAGGAAAGTCTAGATACTCTGGGTGTTATGGCCACATCATGCTCCGTACCTGTTGATCCAGCCCATCAGACGGTAAGACCTATGCAGGGAGAGGAGGTGGTGCCTCACCACCGTCTGCCCAGCACCCAGCACCATGCCTAGAGCATTGTGGTGGCACCCAATCCATTCTTGTTGAATAAGCGAATCAATAAATATATGAAGGCATTTGTAGCAATCTCAGAAAAGTGCAGGGTAACTGTGTTATAATTCTTATCCTGAGAACTTAAAATAATTAAGAGGTAGAATATGACGACTACTTTCTTCTAAGCTCTACTAGATTCTGAAAGCTCTTCTGTCATTGGTCATTTAGAATTGTGCACGGATCCAGGCTGCAGCTGCCCTGAAATGGTACACATGAACCACACACCCTTTTAAAAATATTGGCGTAAAATATACAGGTGTACCGTCTTAGCCATTTTAAGTGTCCAGTTCAGCGATGTTAATTACATCCACACTGCTGTGTAACCAAACTCCAGAACCCTTTTCATCTTGCAAAACTGAAACTCTGTACCCATTGAACAGTAACTCCCTATTTCCCTCTTCCTCCAGACCCAGGGAACTGTCTCTGTGAAGCTGACTACTCCAGGTACCTCATATAAGTGGAACCATACAGTATTAGTCTGTTATGTGACTGGCTTATTTCACTTAGCATAATGTCCTCAAGGGTGATCCATGTTGTAGTCATAATTTTCTTCTTTTTAAAGACTGAATAATATTCCTGAATAATATATATATACACACACACACACAAAATGGAATATTACACATATCTACACATACATATATATCACAAATATGTATATATATCACTTTTTTAATCTATTCATTGGTCTATGGACACTTGGGTGGCTTCCACCTTGTGGCTTTGTGAATAATGATGTTATAAACATGAGATAAATAGATCTCTTCAAGACCATGCTTTCAATTCTTTTATGGCTTCTTTTTTAATTTGACTGATTTATTGAGGTAGAATTCACAAAGCCTACAATTTACCCATTTCAAGTGTACAAGCCAATGGGTTAGTTTATTCAGAGTTAGTACTAAATGTCAGTTTGTAAGAGAGATGTAGTAGATTTTTAAAAAGCCAAGAATCTGAGGATTAAATAAGCCCAGAATGAAGCTCAGGGCCAAGAGCTATTTGTGGGCAACAAACATGGGAATGGAAGAGTCAGGGTTTGCCTTCCTTTTCCTCGTGGTAATATTTAAGATCCTCTCCATCCCTAAGAAATCTGAACTCTGTGTATTCTAGGAAGACTAGAGTGCCTGTGTATATTCAAGAGTTCAGGGGAAGTACATTTAAAATTATCCAAATTCCAGGGCTTAGAACCACCCCCTGGGAGCAGGGACATTAGAGACTTGAAATGGGATAAAGATCAAGGGCTTTCTTGTCTGAGGAAGTGTGTGTGTGTGTTTGGGATGCTGTAGATGCAGAGTAATTAGAATGAATGGGCAGCAGGATTTCAGAGTTACCAAGTGACTGGTATTTATCTGACAGGAAAGAGTTACACTGCGGCCAGCAGTGAACTCCAATCCCATTTTCCCAGTTTCCCTCATTAATAGGTTGTTTACTGCCTTGTTGGTGATTTCTCTTTGCTTTTTTGCTCAATCATCTCAAAGTCCAATTTCTCCCTCACTATCTAATCAGAATTGTCAGTTACTTATGTCATTTATGACCCCCCAGTGTATTTTTCTCTCACTGTCCCTTATCTCTTTGTTGAAGGTGCGTGGCCTTTAGGTGGGAAGGCTCTAGTGGAAAGGGCCAGAGGTGAGGAGCCTGGCGGGCTAGGGTTGTCTGAGGAAACCACCCTCTCCCAGGTGCTCTTCCCTGACGTGAGAAGTGGGCCTAGTAATACCGCTTCTCTCTAACTTTGCCATGTTGTTGCTCTGAGTGAGCAGTATCACCCAAATGAGTGCTTTGAAAATGATAAAGCCCGACGCAATCACAGAGGGAATAAACCTTGGCCCTTCGTGGAAGCAGCTAGCCACTCATTAGCACATTCCTGAGTTCCAGGCACTGGGCTCTGACTTTATAATACAGCAGTGAACAAGTTGGACACGGTCTGAAGGAGGATTAGACAAAAAGTGGTGTATATGAGTTTTTCATGAAAAAGAAAAAAAGAAGCAGAATGGGAGAAAGAGCACGGCGTTTCCCCCCAACTCTTGGACTCTGTTGAAGCTCCTGTAGAAACATGTGCTCATACACACACAAGAATCATAAAACAAGCTTCAGGCCCTAGTTCTCCAACAAATAAAGTTGCTGAGGACCAGCTGGGTTCCAGGCACTGTTACAAAGAATGGAAGACCTAGAGACAGTCATTTCCCTGAAAGGGCCATGCGGCAGGCAAAACACTACCTCTCCGCATTTAAGGTCTCCAGCTGCGCCTGATTAACAGGAGAAAAACATAGGAAATGAAGACCCAAAGAAGCAATTAGAGCCAAACGCTTATACATTTAAATTGAACCAAGGCAGTAAATTGTGAAAATGTGACAAGACAAAGTGACCTGGGTTAGGACAGCTAAGGTGGAGCAGTGACCAGGATGACAAAGGCTGGTTTAGCAAAGGTTAGTTGGTGCAGACTTCTCTCAGCCCAGCCTCCTGTCTCTACTGATAAGAATTTTTCTTTCTTCCTGATATAAGGAGGACGTTGTTCACATGGGAGTTTCTTCTGTCCTCAGGAATGAAAAGGAAGGCCAGAGTGCCTTTTGATTAAGTGCCTTTAACTCAAAAAATCTTTACGTCAAGGTGGCATTTTTATACATACACTGGTTTCCGTCAGGGCTCCCACGTGCAGGGGAGAAATGGGCAGTGGCAAACAATCCATGTGATACGTGGGGGAAGGGAGGTGCGCTCAGGGCAGTAAGGGAATCTCAGGACCTCTTCCCGAGAAGGGAGGGAGGATTCCCAAGAGGCCCAGCACAGAACGCGGACGTGCGGGCCGTGCTCCATCCGCTAGAGGGCGCTCAAGGCCTTTTCCTCTGAGGTCTGAAGGTCTGCATCCTTGTTCTTGTAAGGATAAAGACAGCTTAGCAGAATAATATTCCAGTGTATTTGCACACCACATTTTCTTTATTCATTCGTCTGTTTGTGAACAAACATTTAGGTTGCTTCCATATCTTGGCTTTTGTGGATAATGCTGCAATGAATATGGGGGTACAGATATTTCTTTGAGATTCTGATTTCATTTCCTTTAGTTATATACCCAGAAATGGGGTCACTAGATCATAAGGTGGTTCTATTTTTAATTTCTTGAGGAACCTATCTACTGTTTTCAGTAGTGGCTGTACTAATTTACCTTTCCACCAACAGTGCACATTCTCGACGACTCGTATTCTCTCTCATCTTTTTAAATAATAGCCATTTTGCATGGCAAGGAATGGCTGTGACTGCAAGTGAATGACTGAAGGGCTTGGGCAAAGGCAGAAGCAAAGATTTTATTCAAGTTGGAGAAGAGCAAAGAACTAGTCACTAAGAGGGGAAGAGGAAATGGGATATTCAGCCAGCTCTCCTCCCATTTCTGCCTTGACCTGTAAGGGAGAGGGTAATTCTGCTGCTCCCACACGCTCTGCCTACCCTTCTTACTATCTTCTTCCTGAGGGAGGAGATATTAATGACTCAAGTGCTCCAAGCACAGGACAGTTGCAGAACTACATTCTGCTAGAGAGTGGAGTCTCCAAGCTGGTGTCGCCTCTTTTGCTCCTACTGTCCCCTTATTGCAGGGTTCTGGGAGGGCCTGGCCTTCTCTCTTCTGTACATGTGCCTCTACATAAATTGCATCTACTCTGTTTCAGACCTTTCCATCCCTCCTGAGTGATGAAAGTGCTGGAAGCCTTCCTTAGATTCCAAGCCTACACAGCATAACCAGATTTGACTTAGCAAAGATGTCTGCACTGAGAGACAATGGGGTGATTGCTTATCAGTTAATAAAAAGGTATTTTATTTTCCTTTTTATTTGCCTATTGTCCTCAAGTACACATCCCTCCATTAGGAATCCCTGAAGAGACCTGAGTGGTAGGATTTTGGTCCCTAAACTGAAACTGACACTCCCATAATTAATCCTAAATGAGGTCCCAATCCAAAGGGAGCCCCCCCAAAAAGGCAGAAATGGTATCCAAGACAAAAGGACTCAGCTAGGGTCAAGGTGACAGAAGCTCAGAGGATAAACAGAAGGTGAAAACAGGCTCCCTCCGAGCTTCATCTGTTGGTAGAAAGAAAACCATCATTCATCCATCCAGCCACTTATCCAGTCAGCCAGCCAGCTACTCATTAGCATATTCCTGAGTTCCAGGCACTGGGCTCTGACTTTATAATACAGCAGTGAACAAGTTGGACACGGTCTGAAGGAGGATTAGAAAAAAAGGGGTGTATGTGAGTTTTTCATGTAAAAGAAAAAAAGAAGCAGAATGGGAGAAAGAGCACGGTGTTTCCCCCCAACTCTTGGACTCTGTTGAAGCTCCTATAGAAAGAAAAATTAGGACTAAACAACAGAGCTTGCTTATGAGAAAGGTTTTGGGATTCTGGGCACAAGCAGTACTGAGTTGAGGATCTGGTGACAGAGCAGAGCTGGAGTGAAGGCCATTCTTTCTACTTTTTCCTAGAACCCAACACTGACTTGTAAGTAGATATTACGAGTACGCACCAAAATCTGCTCTCCTTCCCTTTCCTGAATATGGAAGACTTCTTTGCACTTTTGAGCCCTTCTGCAGTTGAGTGGGGCCATGGCTCTGGCCATTTGCAGTCTGCAGCAGAGAGGAGCTGGTGAGTGACCATTAAGTCCTTCATCTGGTTGCAGGGCTGGGGGCGGGGAATCTCTCTAAGCCTGCCTTGTTGACTGGGAAGGTTTCCTGCTAGTCGTGGGGCAGCTACCTCCCTCAGTAGCAAGGTGTTGACTTGCTACATGGAAAACAGCCCTAAAGGGTTGCTGGATCCTTATTAGATTTTATGGCAGTGAGAAATAAACCTTTGTCATGGTAGGCCCCTAAGACGTTGCTATTTATTCTTGCTGCGTAAAAGTATAGCCTCACCTGGAGAATTGGTAGTTGGATAAGAATTTAGAAATAGTAACCTTGGCAGAGGCACTGGTGTTCCCCAAATGGCTACCATAAGCAGGGGCAAGAGAGAAGCCCTTTAGAATGACTTTGCAGGTGGTGAGGAGCTAGAGCAAGGGAGGAAAGACAAGAGAGGTGCTGTGTGACGATTGGGGCAAAATGCTACGTATGCACATACACGTAAGGTACCTTTTTGGAGATTCCCAGAAATATGTGAGTGAGGCTTTTTGTGGGTGGGGAAGAATATGTCAACAAAGGAAACTGTGCAGTATTTAATATGAACATGACTTCATTTGTATCCACAGGCTGGTGAGACCCGGTGTCTGTAGGTATTATTGGCTGAATTGTGGTTTTACTGGGGGAGAGGCCCCAGTTTCAATTCTAGTTGGCAGAGCTGATTGTTCTTATCTTCCTCCTTGTCCCTTCCTTGAAAAGTAAACTGCCAAACGTTGCTCATATCGCTAGGAGTTTCAGAATCTCCCTAGGATTCGTGTCAGACTCTAAATTTCCAGGAATACTGTTGAACATAATTTCATTTCAATTTCACCATTTTCTCTTGAAATTGAATACAGACAGGAACATACTTTCTAATGTAGACATATTAATGTTTGTGTGCCAAAGGAGGTTTCAGAAATTTACAGCATGGTTCATTCCATACATCAAAATTCATGTGATCCCTTTCTGAAATTGTGAATCTGGAAAAACAATAAAAAGCTTTTCATGTGTCCCAAATCAGTAACTCAGGGGAGTTCAACAGTAGTTAGAAAGCATAACTTTCAGTTGTCAACTGGTCAGTCCCCATGTCCTGAGTTTGAATATCCTGACTTTCTTGAAACTAGCAACAACGGTCTTATTATGCCTGTGATGTTTCATATTCAGTTGCTCAGCTGTCCTCTCGTATCAGAAAGAAAATGCAATCTTACGGGCCTCTAGAAATCTAACAATCTAAGCCTCTCAAAGCCGTTTAAAACTCCAAAACAATTCATCTGATAGCAGCATCTTTTCAAAAGGTTCTTATGACCTAACCATGTGACTGTATGGTTAAATAAATCTAATCTAAATGAAATAAATCTCCATGCTGTTCAATTTCTAAATATTGTATGAAACGGCAGGGGCAGGAAGAGTATTAAAAACCTTGATCACTTTCCTCCAACAGCAACAGGGTAGTCACTTTTTACATTTTGCCCTTGGGCTATCCACAAACATCTTCCTGGCTTAAAAAAAAGTCCCATGTTGTTTGGGTGGCAGGTGGAGAGCCCTTGAGGTCAACGAAGATAGCCTTCTGCTCTCTCCTCCCCCAACCCCTACCCTCCACCCCAAAAATCTGAGCGACTGAGTTGTGATTGGGTTTATCCCATTTCGCTTTGCCTGTGATTGGTCCCTAGGAGTGGGCCTATGGCCCATATCTGGCCAATGAGACAAAAGGAGAGGTCTGCTGGGAGACATCTGGTATTGTTTTTCCTGGGGAAAAAACACAGAATTTCACGTAGAGGAAGCTTTTCACCCCAGCCCCTTCCTTCCTGATTTGAATACAGCCCAGTGAGGACTTGCTATCTGAAACTGCAGTCGCCATGAGTTGGCAAAAGATGGCAGAATGGAAATAGCGGATCTTGGCCCTTGATGGTATCTTTGCACTGCTGAGACCGCCTTCTGCTGACTTCTTGTTAAGTGTGAGAAAATAAAACATCATGAATGCTTAAGGCCCTGGCAGACTGGATTCTGTTATTAGCAGCCAAATGCATCCTAACTTTACAAGTATCTCATGAACTGAAATCAACCTGCAAAATTTACAACTCACTTTTGTGATGTATGAGAAGAATGCAAAAAAAAAACCACCCAGCACCAAACATCCCTTCAGGAGGAAGAGACGGATACCCTCATCTTTTTTTCTTTTCATTTGAGCTGTCCCATGTTTGGGAAGTAAAATGAGAATTTTCATATATAAACCAAACTTCTCCATTTTCTCACTGGCAAGTGGTTCAAAACTATTAGGTCAAGAATCCTTTCTAATTAGTTAAGAATTAATTATATTTGCTAAAAAGGCAGGCCTTTCTCTTACTAGTTTGGGTTATTCTGCTCGGTTCACTCATACTGGAGAGTCCTTGAAGGTAAGGATTAGAGTAATTGCAGAGCCTGAACAATGGCTGTGAGTTCAGAAATATTCCACCATTTGTGGGACAACAGCCTGGCCACCTATCCTTAGAGCCGGACTCACGACTTTGGCCAATACTGTTGCGGTGTGGATTGGTAAGAGAAAAAATAATTTTTTTAAAGTAAGGTATGAGGCTCTGCAGGCATGGGGATCCATGTGGAAACACTGGTAACAGGTAGAAATAATGTGGCCCTCAGTTAAAATTCTTCAGAGTTCAAAGAGGGTGCTAGCTCACAACTCGTATATGAGTGAGCTTAGTCCTCCCATGAGGACAGACAACTCTGGGAGACAGGCTCTCACGTGCAGTCAGCTGTGGAGGACAGGAGCCTTGGAGAGAACAGACATCACACATGAAACCCGAAGGCCTGAGACGCGGCCAGAGCAATGAAAGGGCAGGAGATCTTTAGTTCCCAGCCTGAGGGAGTGAGTCAGTGTGACCCTCACTTTCCTCTCTCTACTTGAGGACCAGCAAGCTTTTGGTAGCAAGATGAGATGGACAGGACAACAGTTTGGGTGGGTGTCGGGGCCTGGGGATTGCCGTTGAGGTCTTGGGGTGACGCAAAAAGCAGAGGAAGAGGCGGGAGTCGCCATGGAGGGTGCTCAGAAAAAGCCACTTTATTCTGTATACAGTGTACTTTTTATACTGTTATAGTGCTGATTCGTGGTTACATAGGCATTGAAGACACGCATGCGTGTGGCCTTCATGGCCAGGTGTCTGGCCTTCAAGGCCCTTAGCTAGTTCCTTACTCATGGGTACAACACGCTGTTTTCAAGGTTTCTCAAGGCCAGACATGTCTGGGGTGAGGCAGCGGACAGCAGTCCTTATAGAGCAGTAGGGAAAGTGGGGGGTGGGGGGGGGGCTTCCCTACACTGTGGCTTCCCTTCATTTTGTTTTGAGATAGGTGCGGCAAGTCTTGGCCAAAAGAAAAAAGGTGTGTCATCCTTGGGCAAGCCACATTCTCTGGGGGTCAGTTGTTTCTGTAAATGAATGTTTGGGTCAAACATTTCCTTTGTTAGTAGACTTCTTTGATGGACCAGGTTGCTCTCAGCAAAAGGCTGCAGAAGAGTAGAGGAAGTGGGATAATTAGAGGCCTGAGGCAGTTTATGGACAGCACCCCAGGCCGTCCCAGCATACCTCACTGAACTAACTCCCCCTGGACACCAAGGTCCTGAAAGGAAGCAAGCATGCCTTATTCACTCACCTTTGGCTCCAGCGCTCAGCATAGTACCTGTTACCCAGTAGGCAACTCACCGAGTATAGATTGATAGGTGAGACATGACACCTGGTGTTTTTTATGGGACAAAATTTACCCATCTGAAAGGGCTCCTGAGATCCAATTCTGAATTTTAATGTATGTCTGCCTTGGTGTGAAGATTAATGTTTAAGTGTGACAAGGGATTAATTTGGCTGAAACAGTTTGTTTCTTCCTTTGGTGTTTACTGGTAAAAAGAAAGATAATGTGATTCTAATTTCTTCAAAGCCTTTTCCATTTCACACAGAGGAGTGTTTCTGCAGATTGGGGTATTTCTACTAATGGCTTAGCTAGATTTAAAAAGAAAATGATAACAAGAATTTTTTCCTCTTCTTTTTTCCTGTCTCTTCTAACATGTTGCCTGTACATGAGTTTTTCAGAAGGCTCAGCTTGTTCCTATTTAAACAAAGCTACACTAACAAAATATAAAAGACACCAGAAATGATGCATCAGAAAGTGATCCTTAAAGAGTCCTTCCCATCCAGGCTCTGGGAATAGTTTACCTCTCTGTTCTTGGTCTGTGTTATATTAATGTTTTGCTGAAGGCCACTCCTACCACACAGGGCTACATGATCAGGCTGAAAGCATCTTACCCACTCACCCATATGACTTGGGAAGAGTTCATGGGCACAGTGTGGAGGTTGCCCCTTCTCCTTTCCGGAGCCCCCCTGCCGGGTGGTGTCATATCCAGATGATTCTCACCAGTAAGAGCAGGCAGCTGCGGCAGCTGCGGCAGCTGCAGCCCGAAACCAAGCCTTCCCCCGAGGGACACACTGAGACCCGCACGTCCAGCCCCCAGCACACACACTGAAAACTGTAACGACAAATAAAAAAAAATAGTTGTGTGGTGATGTAAGACATTCCTTCTTGTACTTACCATTCCTTCTGCCTGAAATGCAAATTTAAAAAGTCCTTTTTACAGGGGTCAAAATGGTATATTATCACCAACTCTCATTGACTCCTGCTCCTTGCTTGTCTCCTACGTTTTCTTCCCCAATCCCAGTTCTCATTTTCCAGTATTACTTCTATGTAGGCTGTCCCACTTTGCTCCCTTCCTTCCTTCCTTCCTCCCTCTCTCTCTCTTTCACTTTATACACTCATTTCCTGGTCCTGTGCCAGGAAAAACAGTGCTAGTTAAGGAGCATTTCTCGGCAAATTCATTGTAGTTGGGATAAAAATATCCAAATGATTTGACTTAAAATTACCGTTTTAGGTCATGTATTACTGTAACTCACAATGCATCGTAGTGTATATAAAAATCCCACAGTAATCAACTCCAATTAGAATGCCTCTCCACCCAAATTAAGTTACCAATTAAACACGTTCTCCCAGATGAGGAGTGTTTCCAAGGTAAATTAGATTAATCCTATCATTACTTAATCCTACTTGTAGTCTCCAGTTGCACTGTAGTATTCTCACCATTTTTTCTTCAAGCAACAATAAAAAATAATACACAATTTCAGTGTTTCTATTTAAGAAATACAACAAAATCAGTTTTGAATTTTTAAGCAAACAATCCATACTTTTGAATGGCCACCTTGGGACTCCATAGTGGTGTGTGTGTGTGTGTGTGTGTTCAACATCATGCGCCACATCAGAAAAATCCATAGCAACAAAAGAGAATGACAAGTCTTCTCAGGATGCCTCAGTGGAACTGGTGCTTTTATTTGAACAGATATGTCTATGCAAATACACTCAGTCACAATAGGGAGCTTCTTAGGCCTGACAGTGATTTAAACTCTGAAAGGTGAGGGAACAGTTGAGACCTTTGTCCTCTTGGTGACTCGTGTCCCTTGATGTGGGAGGAGGACTTTAGTTCTCCTCTAGCCCTCTTGCTTCAGATTAAATGACAGACTTCAGCTTTGGTGTAAAGCTGTCAGCTGTCCTAATCAAGGGCAGCATACAAAAACTAGACTCTTGAGGGACAGAAGGGAGGAAGATCTAGAACTGGGTGGGGATAGAAGGGAAGAGCCTGCATCTGCAGAAAATGTCCAAGGATGGCAGGCTCTAGTTACATCAGGGGGAAGACGTCTTAGTGTGTAGGTAACGAAATCATTAGACAGGGCAAAGATGGCCTGGGCCATGCAGAATGAGAGAGTTAAGGGAGGGATGTCTGCATGCAGCAGGCAACTGATTTAGAAAGAGCAGAAATGTAAACCAGCAATGATTCCCTATCTTGGGCTTGGCTAGTTTGGATGTGACTCTTCTGTTATTAACCGACAAGTTTTCATGAGGAGATCCGATCATGAAGGCAACAAACTCTGATTTTAGTGTTCTAGGTTGGGGCTGTTGCTGTTCTCGAACATGGGGAGGTAACAGTTCCTGGGAGGGGCAGAAGGAAGGAGTAGAATCTGAACATCTCACTGAGTCCTCTAGTAACTCTGATCACTTTGGACATTCCAGGATATACAGACAGCTCACGAGAACAACACAACACACGCTAACATGACCAGCATGACAATGAGTTTCCACCATCTTAGCGTACAGAGACGTTATTTAGTTCAGGTTACCATCAGATTTTACAAAAAAGAATTTGACTACATAGATGTGGTTAAAAAAAAAGTACAGGGACTGGAAGTCAGAAGAGCTACATTCCAGACCTGGCTCTGTGGCTGTTCAGCAGTGTGAACCTGGAGAAGTGGTCTAACATCTCTGGGCCTCAGTCTGTTCATCTGCCTGGTGACGAACCCCAACACCCTCTCAGAGTTCATGGGTGGAAAAGCAAAGGGAGCTCATGCGGGAATTCAAAAGCAAATGGAAGTCGTGGCATGGAAACAACAGGTACTATCATCCATCCTCATAAGGAGCTTGTTGGCCACTGGCTTGATAAGTTTCATCAAAGGACATTTATTTGTAACTTTTGAGAAAAGCTAGTCTGGGACTCAGCTCAAGAGGAGTCTCAGATCATCTCCAGTTTGAGTGAACAGTATTTTGTGGCTTGGCTGGAGGCAGGGCTAGATGAAAGCTGAGCTGCATACCCTTCAAAGTCACAAGGAAAAGTCAGCCTTTATGCCAGCAGGGTTTGGTCCTGAAATGGCTGCTCCAGAGTGTCAGCCCTATGCCCTACCTCATACTTTACACAGTATCAGTAAGATCTTCATTCAAAATATATTCGAGTTTTTGTGCTTATTACAGGGGAGAAAAGAACTAATATTTGACCAGCACCTCCTATGGGTAAGCACTTGCTAGGTGTTTTACATACATTGTCATTTTATCCTCAAGGCAAGTTTAAAAGGTTGGCATCACTGTCTCCATTTTACAGGTGAAGAAACTGAGACTCAAAGTGGTTATGACTTGCCCAAGTTTACATTACTGGCACATGGCCGAGGTTGGACATAAAAATTCAGGTCTTCTGACTTCACAGTCCACGCTTTTTCTTCTGTAACTTCATACTACCTTGAAGAAGAGAAATGAGGGTGTGTGCTTAGCCAGCAAAGTTAGGGAAAAGTTATGCTATTAGCAAAGAACTCACCCATTCTTTATCATTCTGCAAAATCCAATTTTCAAATAATCAGAATATGATAGAAATATCAAATATTAAATTACTACTGAACATAATCTGACTTCGACAACCCAGAAGGCACTCCCAGATCTTGCTGTGCCTTGAAGCTTTCACTAACAATACTGATTATCAGTGCACCACAGATGTGTGGAAAGGAAAATGCCAGCTAACAGAAGCCAGATGTCCTGCCTCTAAGATGCTGGCACCACACGGCTTTGATTATACCAGGTCAAGGAAACAAATGGAATCTATCAACGTGACCCTGCCTCTTTGGACATATACTCCAAATATACATCCATTCTCATGCCCAGTGAGAAAGAAATTAATCAAAAGGCTCTCACCTTTCACCAAATGCTACCCTTAAATTCCTAAAACAGTCACATCACTGTACACAATTTTTTTGGCAGTCAAGAGCTCTACGATAAAGGAGAGCTGAAACAATCGGATAATTAACTGGTATTTAGAG